AGATGTCTTTCATACACTCCTTGGTGACCTCACCCCAAGCCCAAGCAAGGTTCCTGATGCAGTCATAGAGTTGCAATCCTTCCACAATTGCATCAGCGACTTCCTCAGTTGCAGCAATAGCCTGGGAAAAGTCCTCCTCAGGTAGTAGGCCTTAAAAGCTGCTATAACTCCTTCATCCATTTGTTGGATCAAAGAGGTGGTGTCTAGAGGGAGAAACACCACTTTGATATTGGGATGAAAATCTCCAATAAAAGGAGGATGTCCGGGAGCATTATCCATAATAAACAAAATCTTCAAAGGTATGTTATTTTCCAAACAAACATCTTCTCCATTTTGCTGGCATAGCAATTCAGGAGGGCATCTTGGAAGAGGAGCTGGGTCGTCCATGACTTCTTACTGCTCCTGTAGTACACTGTCAGTGTGTGCTTACTGATATGCTTGAAGGCCCTGGAGTTCTCACCGTGCCAGATCACAAGGGGTTTCAATCTGTAGCCTGCAACATTACCCCCAGGCAAGACTGTTATTCTGTCCTTAAAAGCGCTGAAACCTGGCATTGGCCTGGCCTCTTTATGGATGAAAGCCCTTTCAGGCATCTGTTTCCAGAATAGGTAGGTTTCATCCATATTGAATATTTCCCCTAGTAAGTAATTTTCCTCAATCAGCTTATCTCGAGTTTCCCAAAATTCTTCAGCTGCCTTCATATCAACACTCACAGACTCTTCACCCACTTTCAGATTATGTAATGAATAACGATTTTTGAATGGTTCAAACCACCCAAAGCTAGTAGTAAATTCAACATCGTAGTTGGGCCAGGCTTTTCTTTCAACATCACAAACTTTTTGCTTTGGTTGTGATTGTTATGGTGCTGAGAGGGATATGCTTCTGTGTCTGGTCTTTAATCCATGTCATTAGAAGTTTCTCCATGTCTGATATAGGCTCCTCTCGAGTTTCTGTCAGTTAGTCTCGTTGCCTTCAATAAAGCAGATCCTTTAACAGGGTCCGACAGTTTGATCTTCAAGATCGTAGCTATGGCGGTATGTGACATGCCCGACAGGTGAGCAGTACCCATCACTGATTTTCCACCGATGTAGTCCTTAATCACTTTTTATTTCATTACCAGGTCAATCACTCGATGTGGCTTCTTACTGGCAACATTAGCAATGGATTTGGTATGCTTAAAGGCCATGATGAACAAAACACAATATCACAACAACCACAAGAGAAAATGATGCAATCAAGAGACACGGTAAACACAAGATGTATGAGGCTGCTGCTGGTGTAACATGGCATATTGTTTTATGATGAACTTTTTTTTTAAGTAGAAAGAGTACACTCTACAATAACAATAAAAGTATAGTATAGAGCCAGCCCTGATGGCCTAGTGGTTAAAGTTCGGCATGCTCCGCTTCAGCGGCCTGGGTTCAGTTCCCAGGTGTGGAACCACACCATTTGTCGGTCAGTAACCATGCTGTAGCGGCGGCTCACATAGAAGAACTAGAAAGACTTACAACTAGAATATACAACTATGTACTGGGGCTTTGGGGAGGCAAAAAAAAAAAGACGACGACGACTGGCAACAATTGTTAGCTCAGGGCAAATCTTTCCCAGCAAAAACAAAACAAAACAATAAAACAGTATAGTATAGTAAATAGATAAACCAGTTAACACAGTCATTTATTATCATTACCAAGTATTATGTACTGCACATATAAGTGTAAATACAACTGTCAGCACAGTAGGTTTTTTTTTTTTTTTGTGAGGAAGATCAGCCCTGAGCTAACATCCATGCCAATCCTTCTCTTTTTTTTTGGTGAGGAAGACCAGCTCTGAGCTAACATCTATTGCCAATCCTTCTTTTTCTCCCCAAAGCCCCAGTAGATAGTTGTATGTCACAGTTGCACATCCTTCTAGTTGCTATATGTGGGACACCGCCTCAGCATGGCCGGAGAAATGGTGCGTCAGTGCGTGCCCGGGATCTGAACCCGGGCCGCCAATAGTGGAGCGCCCACACTTAACCGCTAAGCCACGGGACCAGCCCCAGCGCAGTAGGTTTGTATACACCAGCATCACCATAAACATGTGAGTAGTGTGCTGCACTACAACGTTACAACGGCTTCAACATCACTAGGTGATAGGAATTTTTCAACTCTATTATAATCTTATGGGACCACTGTCGTATATGTGGTCCCTTGTTGACTGAAATGTCTTTATGCGGCGCATGATCATGCTCCACTTTGAGGAAACAACAGTCCCCAAACAGACAGTAAATTCAACTTTTCCAATGAAATAGAAAGAGACTCAAGACTGCAACATCTACATCTCCAGGCTGTGGGCTTGCTCTATGGATTTTCAACTTTCAAGCTGCCATAGTCATGAGTCAATCCCTTAAAATAAAAATAAATCTGTGTGTGTGTGTGTGTATCTCATCTATTGGTTCTGTGTCTCTGGAGAACACTGACTAATACATAAGTGTAAGAGGAACTGTCCCTGCTTTCTCAGGACCCAACCTTTCCACTTTCATCTCACAGGCCAGCCTTTCAAACAGCCTTCCCCCTCCTTTATCCAAGGATCCCCAACACCAGGTTTTCCATCTCTAGCAAACCTCAAACACCCACAGTGAGAACTGGTACATGAAACACTTACATATCCATTTACATCTTGGAGGAAAAGTCTACCCAATGGCAGAAGGAAAAAAGAAAAATCACTTCCAATCACTCTCTCTGAATGGACAAAAGCTGAGTTGTATGCTCTTGGACACCTAATTTCTCTGGGCACCAGTTTTCCCAGCAGGAAAAAATGATGATGCTGGACAAGACCACTTTTACCCAATAATTAAGATGTTGCTCTACATTACTCTTACCACATTTTGAGAAAAATCAGATAGCTAAGTTAAGAGGATTTTAACCAAAATTGGAGTATAGCCTTCAAATTCAATTCAACATTCATGCAAAGTGGCACGATTTCAGTAAGAGCCTTGACTATTATAAGAATGTAATTATAATGGGTAGAGTTCTATGACCCAAACTATTAGAGAATTCTGTCATACTTGATTAAGGAAAACGTCACATCATTTTAGGTGCTCAACGCAAAATAAAATAACAAAGTCTTGTGAAAAAGTAGCCCTTGGGATGGCCTACTACTCAGCAATGTTTCCAACAGTAGCATTTTAGAATTGGAAGCAGGCAGATTATTCCATCTAGTCCTATCAACTCATCATCAGAGTATACAGGAAGTGAAGGTCACACACAGGATCAGGATGTGGCAGAATCAGTACTAAAAACCAAATTTTTCTACTTGTAACTTGGTTTAAAAGACAGTTACTGAACAAACAGGTGAGCTGACACTGAAATGTGGTCTCTCTGAATATCCAGGTCCCTTCGGAGAGAGTTCAAGGATCCATATTATACTCAAATTCATGTTCTGGTTGGTTTACTTTGTAGAAGGCTAGGTAGCACGATAACTTAATTTCTCATCATTTTAATTCAGGAATAGATGCAATAATTTAGCTTTCTCACGTGTGTTCTTATTTAAAATAAAACTGGGGGGAGGGATCTCCTACAGTCTCATAGTCACCAAGGCAGCTGGGCCTTGAACTCCTTGCCCAAAGAGGGGCCATATGCCTTCCAGATCTCTGTTCTCCCCGGCACTGCGTATTCGTGTCAGGCAATGACTTTTCTACCTAGGGAATCTATAGTTCAGGTCCTCACAATCAGAAAACCTACCTTTTCAGAAGCCAAAGTTTCTCTTTTTATGATGTACAGCAAGGAAAAGTGCACTAATTCCCCTGGCCATCCTTCACAGTCTTGAAGGTGAAGCCTGAACAAGTGTAATCACAGCTCTCATGTCCTGGGGCCTGTTAAGTCCCAGGCCCTCAGCTCTAGCATCTCGTTTAACTCTCACAACAACCCCAAAAGGCAGCCATCACTTTTCCCATTTTACAGAACAGGAAACAGACTCAGCTTAAACAAATTTCCCAAATTCACAGAGCTAGTAAATGATGGAATAGCGTCTTGAATCTTTATCTTTAGCACTCAAAATTATGTTTTTCCGTTATGCTATGGTGCCTCAAAAATCTTCAGGAAACCGTCTCTTGGATCAGATCTAGACCACTAAAAGTGTTCAGGTCACTGCTCCTTATCCAGAGCCGGGGTGAAAAGTTCAGCCATCAATTTCCATAAATTAGGGAAGTACTTGGTTTTGTTTCTAAGTGGCTCTTTTATTTACAAGTTTGTTTGTGAGGGCTGTTCCTCTCTTAAAGAAATGATTCTACTCTGTGATACCTTAGTTACTACTGACATCAACTGAAGAGATGCCTAATGGTCTTTGTTCAGACTAGAAGTTAGGAACTAAACTTCTAGTCCAGTTAGATTTTTGAAAGGGCATAGCAATCTACCTTGTTATAAAAGTTGACTCAAAATGCTAACAGGTAAGGAGTTTCTTATGGGGTGATAAAAATATTCTAAAATTAGATTATGGTGATGGCTGCATAACTCTGGATATAAATGAAATCATTCAACTGTAGGCTTTAAATCAGTGAATTTTATAGTAAATATTATATGTTAATTATATCTTAATAAAGAAGTTTAAAAAAAGGACACATAAGAGATTTGATTGTTCAAGTTTCAATTATCAAAGGAGAAAATAATGTAGGAACAAATATTATTTTCACCATTTCATTCTTCTTCTCTATTTACCCCAAATGTCAATTTGCCTGATCCCTATTATTGAAGAATTACAAAATAGAAGTAAACACAAACTTCATGCAAACCTTATAAACATTTAGACTTATAAGTAAAATCAGGCAGAGATTACATGGTCTACAAGGAGATTAGTCATGAGCCTCCTTTAAATAAGGCTTATATAAGACACACACACACTGAAAACTAATGAAAATTCACAAAATCACAAATTCACTTGTTGGAAACCCATTCAGTATTCAGAGAAAGATTTATAAACACATTTAAAAAATTCCTTCCATCAGGAATATAAAGACTTCTTACCTTGTGACAAGGAACCAAGCAATTTGACTGAAGTCTGGAGAGGGCCTCATATACGTCTTAATATGTGGCATGGCGTTGCTGCGGCCAGATGTCTCAGCTGACCATTTGCTAGTGATAGGAAAGATACAAATCGCTACTTAGAAAAAACAAATTGGCCGTAATTCTAATATTAGGAAACTGCATGAAAAGCAAAAATCCTTTAATCTTAAAAACAGTGGGTACACAGTTCTCTGTGACATGTCCTGCGACATCTTATTAAATTCTGGTCAGATAACGGAATGACACGTGTTCATTTTAGAATAGAGGTATGTAGAAAACACCACTCACCACTCACAAAAAGCACTTTTGGCATACAGCCTTCTTGTCTTTTTTGCCATGAATACATACACACATATATACGTATACATACATACATACACACACACACACACACACACATATCTATTATTTGTTGTGCTTTTAACTGCACGTATGCACTTTTGTCTCCCAGTTGGACTGTGAGCTCCTTCAAAGCAGGTATCATGCTCCCTTAGTGCACTACTGAGGAGAGACTCAGTAAAAGCTTGTTGAATGAAACAAAATACAAAATGGGAAAAACACAAACAGTATGTATATCAAAATGGAATGCTGAAAAGCAGGAGGATAATTCAGAAATACTTTAGTCAAAGGCTGATATTCACATATCTGAGTTTGGTTTCTATGTTTCCAACACCGTAGGACTAAGGCTCCATGGGAATAAATGATCTATATCATGAGGCAACAATCCTTACTTATGAATGTAAGAGGATAGTCTCTCAAGAGAACAGATGGTCTGCAAATAGAATCGGGATTAGGTAGGTCCAACATTAGATTATTCAAGTCACTTACACAAAGCAATATTGAAAGGAACTCAATATCAAGAAATGTCCCCTGTAAGGAACAACCTCCCCAAAAAAGCATGAAAGAAAGGCTCCAGGATGACATACTGAATTAGACCGAAAGCTAGTGAAATGTAATCTGCCTTCCCTTCTGGCTGTCCAGCATAATAAATGCTGTTGAAGCAAGTATGAAACTGGGATCGGCCTACAACATGCAGGATGTGCAACTTCTGAGGCTAGAGGACGACAAAGGACACTCCTTTCACTGTCCATTCAACCATTTACTGAACTCTTACAAGCCAAATTCTACCCCGTATCCTGTGGATTCTACCCTGAGCAGGCATGCAGTCACACAGTGTATGCATTTGTAGACAGAATGATTATATTTTATATATCGGAAATATGAACTAAAATGCTACTTATGTAAATTCTAAACTACCCAACATGTTATTTTATTTACCTTGTTCTTTGCATGCCAATATATAAATAGAAACCACACAGAGAGAAATTTTACTCTTTGGTATTAAAAACCTATTCCAAAAAAATGTTCAAAACCTTGTTTTAAATTATTTCTATCACTAACATATGTAGATGGAAAATTATAGCTATATTATGTAAGGCTCTCTTTTAAAAAAATTAGACTGACATAAATAATATTCATATTCCTAAAGAAGGAAGCAACAGTAGCATTCTAAACCAATTACTTACTGAAAATAGGAATGGAGCCAATTCTGTTTTTCTGCTGTCTGGATGCCATAGGGAAGAGAGCCCCCAGCTTTTAAAAGAAAAATAAAATAAATTAAAATTATGGAATATAATTTGAGGATCCTTCATTAAGAAGAAAATCTATAGTAAATAGTGAGAAGGTAAAAGTGAAAAAACAAAACCACTTCCACTAACTCATCTTACAGAATAGTTCTTTGAAAGAAAATGTCTATACCTGTACTAGGTATGTTCTCTCACTGCAGTTTCCTTTCTTAGGGGTGTGTATTAAATAGTAAATGTTTACTATCTGAAAAGAAAAAGGTATTGTTTAATCACTTGGGGGTGGTATTTAACAGTTGCAGCAAGTAGTTTAGCCACAAACATTTGTGCCACACAACTAACTGGCCATAAGGCAATTTTAATGTAAAAGATAAAATAACTGGTTGATTCACAGTTTTGGTTTCATCTGGTTACATGGTTTTCATAATAAAACATAAAAAATGAATACCAAAATTAAAGACTTGAATGCAGAAAATGAATGTAAAAAATATTTGAATATTTAAATGTGTGTAGATTCACGGCAATACCGTGCAAAAAACTGATGTTATTTTGTGGATTGTTACCTAAGCACTTTGTCTTCCAAGTCTTTCGTTCATAGTATTGTGCATTTTTTTTTGCTTGTTGATTCATCTCATTCAGCATCGTACTTTTTTTTGCTAAAATGTCTTCCTTCATTAAGAGAGGTACCCATTTCACACAAATACTAGGATGCATATTTGTAACCAAAGGAAAACCATGTGAACCAAATGAAAACTATTTGTAACCAAATGAAACCAAAACTGTCAATTAACCAGTTATCTTTTATGGCAAAATTGCCTTTACGGCCAATTAGTTGTGCACAGAAAATGCTGTGGTAAAACTGCAGCAAAAACTGCTTGTGGCAAAGATGCTTATGTGAAAACACCTGATGGAAATTCACTGGTAACAGCACAGATTTGAAGTGTCAGAGAAACCACAGAAAGAATCTGGGCCTATCCTGCCATCCTTACGCAGGTGAGACATGCTTAGCCACATTTTGCAAGATGAGGTCTGGAGCAACACCTCTGTTTTTGCCCAAGACCAGGACACATGGGGAGGCAGACTAGGATGAGAATTCAGTTCGCCTGCCTCTCTCGCTGTTTACGCTCTGCCACTTCCCAAAAGAATTCGTACTAGCTAAACAGATTCTCACAAATAGAACAGAACGATCACTAAAATAAAATAAATTAAAATATTCAGTAAACAGTTAAGTTTTAAAAAAGGAATTCTAAAATCCACATTCCTGCAAAGAATCAAGATACGTTTCCAAGTGGAAACACAATTAAAAGCCAATTTCTGTTCATCTTTGAAAGGAGGAAAGTTCCACTGTAGATTCATCAGTCACTTCCCAAACACAGGGTGGAACTTCTCCATAGAAATCTATATCCAAAGAGGGCTTTACATTTCTCTGACTTATCAAAGAAGGTGTATTGTATCTCCTACTGCAAATAACTAAAAAACATATTCAGGATTTCAGGACCAGTTATAAAATAGCTTTATTGAAAATATCATGTTCTTCTGCATTAAAAAGTATGCTTCGAATGGATCTGGTCTATTAGAAGTACAGAAAGAAAATAAAAAAATCACCATGTTCCTGAGTCTCAATGAAATAATTTTAGCTCTGCCATTAAAAAGCAACAAATGGGCTAATACACTCCAAACTCTACTGAGGTTTTTCTGGCAGGGTCGCATCTAGTTGGACAAAAATAAATGGGCTAAATTAGTCTAATTCAGAGCATTCTGCTTCCAGCCATAAGCAAATATCAATCAGACTTCCTTTTTTCCAGAGGAAAAAATACACTGTTTGGGTTTTTGGATATTACCTCCTGAATGCACTATCTGGGGGGATGTCAAATTCCAAATAAAAAGTTAGTGTCCAGCACTAGCATAGGGAAACAGAGGACAAGGTTGGAAGAGTCTACAAAATAATCCTAGGCATTTACAGATGAAGCCCTTGAGAGAACAGATACATCAACTAGGTCATACTAAAGGTGTCAGGTCAATATTAAGCATAAGTTCTTAAATATATCGTATCTGGGATTCAAACTTGGAAGAGCCACAGAGTACCACAGACACAGGCAGGGAGGATGTGGAGAGAGAGAGAGATCAGAGAAAGTCATGTTATAATTGCTGGAAAAGGCATGGAGTAGTAGGGGAAGCTGGTTTTATTTGACATCTTGTCTGGACAGCCAATCTGTTGGTGGCAGAGGTGAGAACGGCCTTATTGGTAGAAATGAGGAGAATATCACTCCCTCAGAGGGTTATTGTGAGGATTAAAGAATAGACCCCCACTGCCCCCGTGGTGTCATCTCTGGAACACAGCAGTGCTCAATATTACTTATCATGATCCTTATCCACTTAAGAGAAAATCATCTCCAAATTTCTAACCAGTACTCATTTCCAGGAGGAAGGTATTCTTATTGCTTGTTTTAAAAAGTTTACCAGGGCATTTATGAAATATACACAAAAAATACAATTGAGACAGTCTCCCTAACAGTTACCTGGATATCCTTCTAAACTTGTCCGCACATTTTCCACAGAAGGATAGATCTAAAAATAAATAAGGAAAAAAAAAAAAGACAATAAAACTTGAGATGTACCATGTTGAAGAAACTATTTGTTAAAATGAATGATGATTAGTTTTTAAGAAAATGAAAATCTCAATTAAAAATACTTAGGAGCTGGCCCAGTGGCACAGTGGTTAGGTTCGTGAGCTCCACTTCAGCAGCCTGGGGTTCACGTGTTCGGATCCCAGGCATAGACCTATGCACCACTTATCAAGACAGGCTGTGGCAGGCATCCCACATATAAAGTAGAGGAATATGGGCACGGATGTCAGCCCAGGGCCAATCTTCCTCAGCAAAAACACGAGGATTGGCAATGCATGTTAGCTCAGGGCTAATCTTCCTGACCAAAAAACAAAAAAAACTTAAAGACTTAGAAAATGGGCTTGAAATTTTAAAAAGTTCCTGTCTTACTGAAAAAAATTGAACTTCTAGTAATTAAACTTCTGGAAGCATATATATTAGATGAAAAAATTACATTTTGATTTGAGTATTTTTTCCTCTGAAATGCCAAATTAAAACTGAATTGAATGTAAAATTAATTATTAATGCAAAGGTCTCTAAATAATTAATAATGCTCATAATTCTGCTGGCAATGCTTTATCAAATATTTTTTCCTTGGCTTAACCACCTGAAGGAAGGAATGGAAAATTGCAGGCTAGCCTGTGGCTGAAACGGAGCTCTGAACAAATGAGGCACTCCCAGCACCAGATGACACTACGGTCACTCAATTACAAATGATGATAATGGACTGCTGTTTCCATCCAAAAACCACTGAGTAAAACACCCATTACAAGGAAGACTGATCCCCAATTCTCCTGGACTAGAGAATAAAAATAATTAACTCAAGGAGGAGGCGCACTCACCAAATGAAGGGGAACAACACCCTTCCCTGGGGTCTTGCTTTCCTTCCCCAATGTCACCAAGCTCTCTTTAAACTCAGAACACAACCATTTGGATTCGTCAGAGCCCATGGAGCCAATACTTGAAAACTGTCCTACTATTGGCCAAGACTCTGCTTTGGGTATGGAGGAGGCATGTTCTTTCAGAAGCTGTGAAGGAAAAGAAAGGAATGTCACAGTCACTCAAATATATGAACAGAAATGCTGCAAAAACGCAGAACACAGTTTTCTGTCCTTGGCATGCCTAATAAATAACGAAATGCTGAAAATATTAATGATCAATTTCATCCCATGTAGACATTTTTCTTCTTTTTTGGGAAATGTTCTTTAAATACTAAAAAGATTTTTATTTTAATGGAGTAAGTGAACAGGAGAAGTATTCCTCTTCTAGAATTCTTTGATTTGTACTAAAAGCAAAAACATAAAAAAATAAAAGACCTATTTTAGTAGAAATGTCAGATAAACCACCAACCTGCCATATGAAGTTAGATTTTTTCCTTGAAATCATAATTGCTTAATATAGTCACGTGCCATATGACGACATTTCGGTTAAAGATGGAGTGCGTATACAACGGTGGTCCCATAAGATTAGTACCATATAGCCTGGGTTAGTAGAGGGCTACACCATCTAGGTTTGTGTAAGTACACTCCATGATGTGCACACAATGACGAAATCACCTAACAACACATTTCTCAGAACATCTTCCTGTCATTAAGTGATGCATGACTGTATACCTAACAATACCTAGAAGGTCAAGCTATTGTGTATTTTGACTCCTATCATCTGAAAGAGGTTTAACACTCGGGTTTAACACAGGTAGCTCTGATGCTCTTAAAATAAAAGAGAATATATTTACACATACATATCGACTACCTTCAGCACTGCAGAAGACTGATCTGCATTTCTTGCTTTGTTTGATACTTAATGCAAAGCTGCAGAAACAATTCAGAATATATTCCAAAATTTTAGCCACTTAAACATGCACTGAGTGTCTATCTATAGGCTGGAGAAAGCAAGAAAAATAAGCCACAGTTCCTGCCCTAGTGGAGCTCATCATTCTGATGTATTGTTTAGTTTAATATGCATTATTTCCCTAAACACAGCTTAGGCATTAATATTTATAAACACATTTACCAAAAGCCCAAATAGTTCTCACCTTCCATCCTGGGTGCAGCACAGTGTAGGAAACAGAACTGAACTGACAATGACAAGAGTCAGTTTCTATTCTGGTGCTCAGCCCCTGACGGCTACATGGCCCTGGACAAGTCCCTGTGCTTCCATTTACACATCAGTGAGACAAAAGTCTGATCATCCCCATTTTCTCTGGAAGGCAGTTGTGATGTACCATGAGCTACCGTGTGTGAAAAGTGGTTTGAAAACTCTAAGAAGCTATTCAACTTTCAGTAAGACTGTGAGCCTACACAACGTGTGCTCTTACCTAGCCTGTCTAAACCATCAGGCCACAAACAAGTAACCACTAATGCTTAAGGAATACTCAGCAGGTGCCTTGCTTTCACTATTTCATTTACTCCTTACACAATTCTGTGAGTGAAGTACTATTATGATGCCCATTTTATAGATGACAAGAGAGGCAGGCTAAGGAGCAAGCCAAGGTCATATGACTTGTAAACAACAGGTCAGGATTTGAGCCCAGGTGTGGGACTCTACTCCCAAAGGTGTGACTTAGCCAGTCTGTTCTATTCCCTCTCTAGGTCAAGACTTGAAGATGTTGGCTACGAGATCTTGCCTGCTTTCAGCTGTGGTTTCATTTCAAAAAAGGAAATTAAAATGAAAGAGTTTTATTAACCAAGGGGAATTCTTACATAACATAAATAATTTACAGAAAAAGAGGTAAGGCTTTTAGAAAGCCACGTTAGGGAATTTATTAAGTTGACAAACTCTCTCCTAAAGAGAGATGAAGAAAACAGTAATCCTTAACTTACTTGTTGTTTTATTTTGTTAGACTTTTCTTTGTTCATTTTCATACCAGCAGCAAATGGCATGTTTGTAATTACAATTCTCTTCAGGGCACTGGTTTAGTAAACAAAATACATTACAGCTCAGTTGTAGCCTCTACTCAACAGTATTTTCTGTTCTTTGTTGAACTTGTATGTTATAAATCCTTTATATGCTGATCAAAAGCTACAATACTTATATGAATGAGAAGTCTTAAATTAACCTTATTACAAGAAATACAAAAACAAAAAGTCCATATGCTTTTGCCATTTAGAACAGTCTACTCTATATCTATACGAGGCATAACAAAACATTAAAAAGTAATTACTGAAAACTATAATTAGACAATTTATCAAGTGCCTACTATATACCCAGAATGGTGCTAGAGATATTGTGAAACTGTCATCAAAATATACAATTATAAACGAAAAAGGAGAATATATATTAAATTTTTAAAAAATGTTAAAATAGTAAAAATTCTGTTACCTTCCTAAGCCTAAAATGTCCCCAATTATCTTTTTGACTTCCTTGAAAGCGTCCTGGGGTTGATCCAATGAGGTAAACACTAAAAAGATACAAAAATCCAAGTTATAGAACATAGTGATATGATTTGTAGACTCAAAAATCACAAAACACATGAAAACTAATATAATCTAATAGAAATGTACTAACAGCCAACTCGTTTTCTTGGAATGTTTCCTCAGAGTAGTAATTGATACTTAAACTCATTTTTAAGCACATCAACTAATGGTGGAACATCTACAAGGTGTAAGGTACCAGGCAAAGAACTTATTTTATTTTTTTTTTGTGAGGAAGATCAGCCCTGAGCTAACATCCATGCTAATCCTCCTCTTTTTGCTGAGGAAGACCGGCTCTGAGCTAACATCTATTGCCAATCCTCGTCCTTTTTTTCTCCAAAGCCCCAGTAGATAGCTGTACGCCATAGCTGCACGTCCTTCTAGTTGCCGTATGTGGGACGTGGCCTCAGCATGGCCAGAGAAGCGGCGGGTCCGTGCGCGCCTGGGATCCGAACCCGGGCCACCAGTAGCGGAGCGCGCGCACTTCACCGCTAAGCCACGAGGCCGGCCCAGAACTTACTCATTTTAAGAGTACCCCAGTGGAAGGCTTAGGGAAGATTTACTGGCCTCCACTTCAGTGGCTGAGAGCCAGGAGATGCAGATAGTGACAGAATCTTCTGCTTTCATCACGCATGAAGGATAGCCAAACATCACTCAATCTCCTCCCAAGACCCCTGCATTCCAGACCTCGTTTGGCAATCAAGGTATTAACATACTATAAACACCCCAAATTGCTAAGACAACACATACTTCGTTTCAGAGAGATCATGCTCTTGGATGATATCTATCCACTCCTTGAGGGGAGGAGCATTATAAGCCATCAAGTAGCTGATGAGATCAGCTTTAAAATGTGTTGTTGATTCTCCAGAGCTGTCGGTTCCATGGACAATTCGTGGGTACAAGGGGCTCACCCATATTCTGAAATGGAAAACAAGAACTTTTAACAGGAGTGCAACTGATCACCATGATATCTCTGTATTGACTATGCACTCACCCTAAGGAAGAGGTGAATTCTCACTCTCCACATGTTAAGTAAAGTGATCCTTATGAAAGATGAGACAAATCCAATCACAACACTCCAAGGGCTTCCATCATATTCTGAATTATTTTTGAACAACTCACCATGAATTTAAGACCCAGTAAGATCTGGCCTCTGCCCACTACTCTCAACTCAATCCCTCCATGCTACCTCTCATTCACTCACCACCTTCCTTATTCCTCGTTACCCCCACACCTCTATATTGCTTTCGAAGACTTGACAACAACAGTTAAGAGTTCCACTCCTAATTGTTACAGCAAATCCACACCACCTGTAGTAACCCCAGCAAGATTTTTGCCTATCGATATACCTCTTTAGCCAAACAGAAAATAAGAGTTATCCAGACTAAAAGACATGTATGCGCAAATCTATTTTCAATAAACAAACTCGTTTTCATGATGTATATGCTATAGCAGTTTGAGATATTTTCATATCCTAGACTTTTCTGGTGTCTGGAATGAGGATATACCACATTTAATGATATTACATTAACATCTCAGACTTGCAAATAATTCAGTAAAAAAACATTAAAGACATCTGTCATTTCTTTAACTCTTTTTCCTCAAAGGAAAACAATGCACTTTGCTAAAACTTCTATATTATACCCACAAATGGAAAACAACCATATCTAAACTCAATTCTTCTATGAACTGCTCCATGGTAGATCACAAAACAGTAAGGCTTCAAACCTATTGTGCTCAGTTTCTTCAACTGCAAAACTGGGTTAACAGCCCCGTGTCACAGGGTTGCTGCAAAAGACGCACACGAGGCAATGAACAGTGTCCAACGTAAAGAAGCACTCGGCAGGTATTAGCTGTTACCTTTTTCCCCCTCTGCAGCTCCTTCCACCACAGTTCTGCCCATTAAGCCAAAAAAAGAAACTGCCCAGTTCCTCTTTCACCTTGCAGCCCTCCAAAGAGACTGGCGAGATGCAGGCCATCAGGGCAGGAAGCACCCAGAACCACAAGGATCCTGGCTGTGCATCTTCTGAATTCTGTACATGCTTCTAGCAGGATGGCATGTCACAACTTCTCTTCCCACCTTGAAAAGACCCCTCGCACAAGAACTAGAGGCCACGTTCTGGACCCGGATCTGCTTCTAACTGGCTGTGTCATTTTGAGCCAGCCCAACGACCTCTCTGGGCCTCTGCCTCTTTGTCTGCAAAATGACCACACTGGGCTGGATGGATGCGTAAGGTCTCTCCTCGCATAGCACCTTGGAGCCCACAGGCTGAGTGGGGCTTCTCCTGGATTAGTGGTTCTGGATGAGAAATACAACAGATGATGACTTTCTAAACCAGGATACTGAGATGTGAGGTGTTTTTAACACTTCACAAAATAAGATGAGAAAATTATTATCGCAGGCCAAATAATTTTAAAAGTGAGACATTAACAAGTGGACCAAGAAGCAGCCGAAAAGGATGGTTGAAACACTTGTACAGCAGAAAAGAATCACCAGAGCCATGGTAGACTCATTATGAAATAAGATTACACAAAAGGACTGCTTTTAAACATTTTTTAAAAATTACAACCCACAACATGAAACTGTGAAGTATCAGAGAGAGTAGAATCTAGACTCACTATGAGATAATAGTACCCTACACCAGGGCAGCTGACACAGGAAAGTTGGAGAGATGTCACACCCTTGGTACTTTTTGAGTTTTGAACCATGTGAGGCTACTACCTACTCAGTATATATATATATTTTTTTCTTTGATTTAAAAAATTAAATAAAATAAACAGCCAAGCCCTTACCCACAATCTCTTGCCCCATAGCAGCCACCCCAGAGAAGCCTAAGGAAGTATGACCGTCTATAAACTCAAGCTTCAGACTCTAGAAAGAGCTGGAGGCCACGGGTGGCCTTCTGTGAGCTACATAAGACTGAGTGTCAACTTGATAAATCCCTTTAGGTACATTAATTATTGCTTCCCTAAGAACAAGCTACATTAATCTCACTTCCTTTTTTGATGGGGCTACATATGAGCCATGAGTCTGAAAACCCAGCCCCATAGCTTAGAAGCTCCAGGGGTAGCAAAGGTGTAGTTAACCAGAAACTCAGTGGATCAAGAGTCCTGTGGCTGTCGCCTTGACCCTGTCACCTCTATCCTGAACCAGTCAGGATTACACTGCATTTTGTGAAGCATATTTTAAGTGGGACACTTGAAAACTAAAACATGTCTCGAGGAAAACGACCAGGCAGTGGGGATGGGGGTTCAAAGCCACCTGCTACAGTAGGGAAAGGAAGTGAGGAGAGGGAACTAGAGATGTCTGGCTCAGGGAAAAGACTGTCTTTCAAACTGGAAGGGCCATCTTTAGGAAAAGAGGTAACTGTTCCACACGGCACACGCAGGTCGAAGCAGGCCCAGCGGATGGAGGCTGGAAGCCTCTGTATTTCAGCTCAACCTAAGGCGTGATTTGGGCTCAGTCAGAGCTAACACACCCCAATTTAGGGGTTCCAGCCCAGTCTGGGCAATATGGGGCAAGGTAAAGTAGGGGAGGATGAGCGTGGAGAATACTCGAACCCAGAAAGGGTGAGTTTCTCCAAACACAGGAGGCTGCTAACCAGCTCTTCTCTAGGGAAGGCAGAGATGTACAAAATGGCTTAAATGAAAGAAAGGGAAATTAAACCTCTCTTAAAAAAAAAGGGATCTAAAACTAGATTTAGCGTATGTGCACCAAGGACAAAGGGTTAGGAATAAAAGAAAACGTGAATAACCTTCATATTCAATTTTTCTCTTGGAGATTCACAACCATATGAACATATTAAAGGCTCTCAAAAGACACCAGTTTAGATTTACTTTATGGGACAATAAACTGATTAGGAGTGAGGGGAAGTTTTCAGTGTACAAGCGGGTACAGGGGTAAGTGGGGACCAAGAAAGTTAACTGGTGGGTCTTACTGGAAAAATAACGGGTTCAGACCTTTCATTTTACATCTTCTTTCCTGCCTCAGATCCTCTGTACACGCTATTCCCTTCTACCTGCCCATAGAGTGTGTTATGATCCCATTTTTGTAAAAACTAGGAAAAAACTACTGTGTGTAAATATTTATCTATGTTTACATGTATAATAGAGACAGCTGTGGATGATTATGTGCTCAAATGTTAACACTGGTTACCTCCAGAGAGTGGAATTGAGGGGAGGTAGTAAAAGAATACTATCACTTTTTCTGCATATGTCTCTCTTCTCTGCCATATGTGCAGTTTTTTTACAATTTAAAAAATAGGAAAAAAAAGAAGAAAGCGAATGTTCTGGGTTTTGACCTTTCTGAGCACACACAGCCACTGCCGTGAAGTGAACAGAATCCTACAAACCCTTGCGTCTTCTGGTGCCAGTCAGCATGGATGAGGTTGGAGGTGTGTATGACCACCCGGAGGCCTTCTTCGTACAGCAGTAGCATCATTTTCCTTTAAAAACAGAAAAGGGATCAAAAAGCATTAACAGTACTTTCAAAATATGTAATACTTTTCTAATGCAAATAGCTAAATGTAATAGCTAGAGGAATTCTTTAGACTCGTATTACTCCAACTTTCAACATTTACAATCTTCCTTTCTTGTACACATTACCATGGTCAAAGTCTGCTCAAGTGATAGGTAGAAAACCACCTTCCAAGATGCTCAGAGTATTGGTGGTAAATGAATTTTGGCTCCGTCCTGACCACATGGCCAGTTCCAGCACTTCGAACCCCCCCCTCCCCTCCAGTCTGGCCCCTTATTATCTCTTATTATCAGGGACAATGGAAACCTTCTTGTCCAGTGTTTTTCAAAGTATGGTCACAATTTCTTGCTGTGTCGTGGGTACCATTTTTTTAAAAAATTGCAATAGAATAAATTAGAAACTCAAGAGTATATTGCATATATTTAAATTAAGTATTGGCTTACGAAGCTTTTGTTTCAGCACATAAGTATGGACATGTGTAGTAGACTGAAATGTAACATGTATTTCTTACTGTGGGTTGCAGTTTGAAAAAGTTGGAAAGATGCTGCGTTTTCCTAAGACTGATCTTTTTCATACTCTGTAGATACCACACTTGTCACTAGTGTGTACCTGGGCTTAAGGTAAGTCTTCCCTTTTCTTCTCCATTCACTCACATCAGACCTCGTTGAGTCCTCCCTTTCCCATGGGGCTTCCCCAGCCCTCCAGTCATCAGACCTATTTCTCTTATTTTAATGCCAGCAGGAGAGGGAATAGGAAAAATAAGAGCCTTCTATTTGAAGCCCCCGTCTTGGTCAGTTAGAAGCCGCATGACCCTAGGTAAGTCATTCAATGTCCCTAAATCATTCAATGTCCCTGAGCCTTGGTTCTGCACTTGTAACGTGAAAGATCAACCCCTTCTTACTCAGACTGTCGCGGTGCGGATGCAACAAGCATGGTGTTAAATGTACAACACTGTCGCGCTCCCATCACTCCTTCAATGCCTTGTTTTACTTTGTCATCTACTGTTGGATGATTTTTGGCCTCCCGATTGTTTTCTAATTATTTCAGGAATCTAAGTTCTCTCCCCCCAACTAGAGATTCACGCCTCAAGGCTGTGACTCTGCCTTGACTTATTGTTTCTAATGAGGTGAAAATGCTACTTAATACCTACTGATGTAACTCAATTCACACGTGGGGAAAAAAAGGAACCACTAGTTCTCTCCAATAAACAACAACATAAATACTATTTGGACGGGATGGGGTGAGCAGAAAAAGATGCAGAAAAAGAATATAAGGACTGAATTTAAACGAGAATGTAATCCAAGCTGGCAAATAGTAAATTAATGCAAAGCTGGAGAAATGACAGCTGTTGGGCCAATCTTCTTTCCATTTATGAAATGTACTCCCAGAAATCTGGGCAAATTGACATACACAGTTGCCAAATTAGCAGCTGACTGTTATTAAGAATAAGCCAGTTATGAATTCATGATATAAGTTTTACAAATATTTCCATTAATCAAGGCATCAATTACCAGGAAATCATGCACTAATGTCACTGAATCCTATCAAGTAGAATTGTGAACTAATCTAAGGGGAGTCATATCTCTTCATAGACAAAATGGCATGTGTCAATAAGGTCACAGTTAAAAATGGATAAAAAAGGATAAGAAATGAGGTCTTCCTTGCAGAATGGTGACCTGCATATTATCCATTAAGCCGTGGTGGCAGCAAAAGGGACATTTTCCAAATCTGAAGCTGTTCTGGCAAAGGGGGAAAGAAAACTAACGTTCGAGGAGCATCTAGTGGCAGGCAGCATTCTAGACACTCTACGGAATGCCAGCACGCTAAACCTCACCCAAAGCAGAGGAGGTGTTATCACTCCCATTTTACAACTGCAGAATCTGCGGCTGGGAGAGGTAAAGAGAATTATCTATGCTCCCAAACGACCCAGAGGAAGAGCTTGTTTGGATCACACATGCCAGGATCCTCCTCTCACTGCACACCGCTTCCGAAATGATGGACAGGGCCAAGAACACTTCACGCTACTAGGGTTGGAATGGACAAGGTGGGGGACCATGGGGTCCAGGTGAGAAAGAGGACTAAACTACGCCTGGCGGGAGGTCCAGCTACAGATGGAGGGGGAGAGTGGCATGCCCCACCCACCCTGAGGTTTGCTCCTAGTCTGCTGGATTGGCTCCCAGTTAGACAGCCACATTCAACGTGCAGCTGCTTTGGCTTCCCCCCTTTCCCGAAACGGATTCACAGGGCCATCAGAGGTAACTTTGCTCCCAGCTCTGGGTGACACCAAAACACTTCAGAATTCTAAAGCACTGTGAGTTAAACCCGGGGATTGCCTGGCATCCTACAGAAACACGGATAGCACACGTTTAATGTGCCTACAGGACTGGGAGCTCCTGGAGGACGGGGGCTGCATCTGGTCATTTCCAGATGCTTTGCACATGATACACAGTCAACACATGCTTGCTAAAATGAACGTGATCTCAAAGACGACTTCATGTCTACTGTGGTTGCTCCACTCAGTCAAGTTGCGGGGCGGTTTACACCTCGTCACCATGACCGGAAGGTTTCCCCCTTTTCTTTTTCTTTTTTTTTTTGTGAGGAACATCAGCCCTGAGCTAACATCCGTGCTAATCCTCCTCTTGTTGCTGAGGAAGACCGGCTCTGAGCTAACATCTATTGCCAATCCTCCTCCTTTTTTTTTCCCCCAAAGCCCCAGTAGATAGTTGTATGTCGTAGTTGCACATCCTTCTAGTTGCTGTATGTGGGACGCGGCCTCAGCATGACCGGAGAAGCGGTGTGTCGGTGTGCGCCCGGGACCCGAACCCCGGCCGCTAGTAGCGGAGTGCGCACACTTAACCGCTAAGCCACGGGGCCGGCCCCCCCTTTTCTAATTCAAGTGTTTGTCTTGCCTCTCTCACCAAAAAACTAAAAGCTGCAAGAAAACTATTAAGTCTGAAAACACTTCATGACCCCTAGAGCTGTGTCTCAAGAATATAAGAGATATTTAATGAATAGTTCTTAGAACATTTTAAAATGAGCAACTGAAAGTAATTTCAAGACATGGGTTCAATCTCCTACAAGATGCTAGCATTTTAACAAAATGTAAACCACACATACTCTGTGCTTGGGAAAGCTTCTATTATAATTACTTCCCCTGGCATTTACAACTCTGAATGAAGAACCCTGCTGGGTTTAACCTGCAGTGTGTATGATGGGCGGGAAAGGAGGAATAGATTTGCAAAGTGTGTGTGTTGCGGCAGGTTGGGGGTGGGGGGATGATGGACCAAAGGAAACCATGAGTGAATTTTAGCAGTGAGCAAACAAAAATACGTTAAAAACTTAGGTTAAAATACTTAGGTTCTACTCCTCTCTCCAACACTGGCTTGAGGAACACTGTTTATCGACTTGGGGCCTCTGATCTATAAAATAAAAAGGAAGGACCAAATAATCTTTTGAATAGCATTGAAGAAAAGATAGCCCCTCTAGGTTCAATTGAACGTCACTGTGCTAGATCCTGGCCAGGCCCAGCACACTCAGTCCCTCCCGGGAGGAAGGCGCAGGCTCTCCGACTTGCTAGCACCTGAGTGCATGCTCATGAAATGCTGAACATGTGGCCAGCACAGGAACTGGCACTGGTGGTCTAGGAAATCATGCCCAGAACCCAAATGGGTGACAGGGCTTGCTGAATGTATTCTAGAATGGTGAAGGAACGTATGCTAGGGTTTCAGCTAAGGGTGGGGGACAAGGATTCACTTGGGGTTACCCATTACTGGCGGAATGTCTACCCATGACAGGTTGACTACTGCTGCTCACCAGTGTCTCCTGTGATGCAGCTAGGGGAGCCTAGGACGCTGAGCTTCCTTATTCAATGCCATCGTGCATCTTCTGCTGAAATGAACATCCTCTGAGCTCAGTGCTATGTAAAGGATAATTTATACCTGAGCTAGGTGCTTGAGTTCACTGTCAACAATTTTCAAACCCTGTCCTCTATTAGACCAAAGCTACCAATTAGGGATGGTTGATAAATGCTGCAACATTTACTCAAGAGCATCTAAGACCAGATAACGTATGATTCATAGGTATTCTTTTACGAAACGGCTCAACACTTGCCACTCTGGTTCCTTTTTAAACCAGATTGGCAAGATATAGTTTTAAGCATACAAAGAGAAAGATGAATGTATGCTCTCATGTCAGGTCACCATCATATCAGGAAAACAGTGGTCACAAGAACACTTGGGACAAGCACTCCCTCCTACGAGATACCTGAGGATCATGCCAGAAGCAGCAAGCTACCCACTTCCACTACTGGTCTAGAAGAAAGCTGAGGCTTTGTGACATTCTCTTGACAAATCCTTTCTAGAGAAATGTGACCTATAAAAATACTGAAATAGGGACAACCATGTCTTATTCTTTTTCTCATTTATAGAACCAATTGCATAAAAGGGCTCTATAAAACCAGCCTAAAACGGGAGTAAAGTTGACAACTGGCTGCAATGTGTCAAGTAGGAAGTACGTAATAGAAAAGTTTTCCTGTCTGTGGTTTGCACTGTCTCAGAAAACTTCTGAGATGTCTTGAGCAGGGACAGGCATCAGCCTCTCAAGTTGACAACTTTTTGCAAAATAGTTTTTCTTTCAATAACATCCTAGAGCTGACCTAACAATATTCTATTTGCTGCAACTCAGAATCTTACAAAAATCATAAGACTTTCTTTAAAGTAGTGGATTCCACAGGCACGTGACTAATGCATGTACAGTCATCCGTCACCACGGACCACACAACCACAGTCTATTTCCCCCAAGTTGGCTATAACGAACATCCTGAACAGAAAGCAGAAACGGCATCACAGATTCAGACTTTCAGGTTGAGAGCCAGAATCCCAGCGCTCTGTCATAGGCTGTTAGCAATCAACTCTGCCTCCTCTACTTCCTAACTGATAGCTTCCCCACCCCCAGAATAACTATCACACAGGAGTTCCCCTATTCCTTTCTGAATACCATCCTTTACTCCATTAAAATCATACTGTCCCCCATTTCATAAAAATTGCTTACGTGTGGTGTGTCCCAAATGCAATATCCAACTTTGCCTAGGATGAAAAAGAAGTCAAGTCACTTATTAAAAAAACTCAATAATATCCCTATCTATTGGAAATTAGACTCAAGTCAACTTTTTTTAAAACTGTTTTTACTGCCCTCTAGCGGACGAGCCCTCCATCGACAAGAGAGCTTTTATAATAGCATCCAGTGAGGCTCATTTTTTAAAAAAAACTTTTTTTTAAAGTTATCCAGAATGATTCAATACATATTGCATTTTTAATTACAGTAATTAGAAGCACAGAAGTCTAATTTCTTTAGCTGTCAAAAAACTAATAAGAACAAATGAGACTGTATGCAAAGTTTTAAAATTAGATATTTGGCTTATACTGAAATTAATATAGGCAAAATTTTTCAGAGCATACTTAAAAGAAACACTGAATGTGGTGGCAGCATACAGACTTATATTATGATGTTAAAACAGAAGTTTTCTTATATAGATAGCATAACAAGTACTGAAAACAAAGAAGATAGTATACTAAATCCACTTTTGTGTTACAAAATGATGCCTTTACAAACAAATAGGGGGTGGGTGGAAAAGGAAAACATTTTATCTAACATCCAGTATAGCAAGACCTTGGTTAAGCAAAGTGTGCCTCAAGATACAAGCTATGACAGAGTTAAAATAAATAGAAATGTCAAAACAGCAGTTAGGAATGCACAAATCCTACCTTCACAACTTTGCATGACTTTCGAAAATATTTAAATCTCTATAATTCATCTTTCTCTTCTTTAAAATCAGGGTACTGTTAGGGGATTCAGAGAGTTGTTAGGAGTAAACAAGAAAAAGTATTTGAAGTGCTTAGGAAAGGGTGCCTGCACGGGGTAGACACTCCACAAATGGAAGCAAGTACTACACCCCTCCCACCCCAACCACATGACAGACGGTGGACCTGTTTGCTGGAGGCAGTAATGGGCCATACACAGGTGAGTAAGACAGCCCGTTCTGGGGATGCTCACGGACAGGTGGCCTGGTGCCCTACACTCTTAAACTCAGTGTTTGGGGATGCCCACAGACCAGCATGCACTTGTGTGGTCTGGCCACAGAAAAGAGAGCAGGCAACTGTATTTCATGTCTTTAAAATTACAAAATTAGGATGAAGACTATCACTTTGTAAACTGATATTAGCTCAGAAAAAGCAATGGTCAAGAGACTTGGCTTTTGAGTTTAGTTTTGCTATAAGTTGTGTGCTTTGGGGCAAGCCTAAGCACAAACACGAGGATGATAACTTCAACAGATAATCTTTAATGGGTGCTTTTTGTGGCAAATGCACCAAATCCTTTGCACAACAACCCTTTTAAAGACGAAGAAATTAGGCTTAAAGAGGTAAAGTGATGGGCCCAGAATGACACAGCTAGTAGGTGGAGAGCTGGGACAGAACCCAGGCAGTCTGAACCTTGACTACCAGAAGGCCCAGATGTGCAAAATGGGAGAAGGGCCAGCATCCAGATTCTCTGACTGATGTGCCTCAGCTTAATCAAATGACACTATGTTGCTAAAAATAAAGTCAAGACTTCATCTTATAGCCAAGGTATAAAGGTATTTCAATAGGTCAGGATGGGGCCACAATCCTCCTGTACCTCAGACCAGATCTGGGAGTTTCTGAACAGCTCTTGGGACAAGGTTTGGAAGACAGCGGCTCGTTACGCCCTCTAGCGGCCCACCTGGAGCACGCCACCAGGCACGGCACAATCTCTCCTCAACTTTTCAGTATAGGTAGCTAGTATTTGAAAACCACTTTCTATTTCCATTGATTTAATCACTGGCTTTCAGGATTCCTGTGTTATTTTATTTTCTGCCCACTGATAGTGTGATGAGAGCTATACTACTGTTTAACCTCTCCTGTTTTTGGAAACAAAAGCTAAACAATGGGATTTTAGGTAACTGTTAAGAAAAGGGACATCTACGTAGAAGGTGAGCCACAAACACATTGGGGAAAGGAGTGTTTTACAATTCCAACTACATAAGGTGCAGTGGTTAAACCTCAGTGCTGAAACCTTGAGAGGCACACTGACACACCAGACACACCTGGAGTACTAACAGGTTAGGGAAAGAGGGAATCCAGGTCACATCGAATATAACCGAAGAAAGGAGAAAACTAAGGGAGATGGAATAGGTGACTTCAAATAGAAGAATCACTGACATGCGCAAGGAGGAGAATTATTCTATGTGGCTCCAGAGGGGTAAAATTAGGACCGATGTGTGGAAGTTACAAAAAGGAAGATTGTGATGGTTAAATTTAGGTGTCAACTTGGCTAGGCCATAGTATCCAGATATTTGGTCAGATGTTGCTGTGAAGATATTTTTTTGGTGAGACTAACATTTAACTCAGTAGACTTTGAGTAAAGCAGATTACCCTCCATAATGTGGGTGGGCCTCATCTAATCAGTTGAGAGCCTTAAGTGGAAAAAAGACCGACTCTCTCAAAGAAGAGGGAATTCAGTCTCCAGCCTGCCCTTGGACTCAAACTGCAACATCAGCTCTTCCCTCGGTCTCCAGTCTGCTGGTCTACCCTGCAGATTTTGAACTTGCCAGCCCCCACAACCATGTGAGCCAATTCTTTTAAATTATACCTCTCTCTACAGACACACACCCTATTGGTTCTGTTTCTCTGGAGAAACCTGACTAATGTAGAGATATCAGATCAACATAAAGAAAAATCTTTCTAACCACAAGAGCTACCCACAAATGGGATGGGCTATCTCAGGAAGTATTTAAGCCAAGGCCAGATAAATATCTATTGGTGATGCTAGAGAGAGGATTCCTGCACTAGGTGGGTGATAGACTAAATGTCTAAATTTCCTTCCAACTCTCAGACCAGGCCTGATCTCAAATGGCAATAAGGAGCTTACCTGGCAGAGGGAAATGTTTTCATAAGGCTTTGCCTGGGCATATAAGTCGGCTTTAGCTTCTCGTTTATCGCCATGCACAAGCAGGATTGGTTTCTTCCTGAAAAGAGATCAGAAGTATTCAAAATACATCCTTCATAAAGATAGACTCTTGGCTAGTGAAGGAATGCTACTTCCTTACCACTGGGCAGCTGTTTCAGGCCTTTGTGGTGACTGATACGGGGCTAACACAGAGCAGTGACCAGTTAATCTTCACTAACCAGTTACCCTTATAATGGGGCCATGGGGCCCATCCTAAAGCTCCGCTGTGACCCAGAGGAGTTGTGACTCCAAGTCCTCGAATAATTACCTTCTTTGGTCCAAAAGGGGCACATAGTTAGCTCTGTGTTAATATGTTTACATTCTGATGGATTAAAAGATATACAATTATTGTTGTATAGTATGATGCTCTCTTCTTTCCCTTCTTTTGGACCAAGCAATGGCTCATTTCCTTTCTATACCTGCATCCACCAAGCTCCTGCTGTGGGCTAGGTCGACTACACCCCCAGGATACAAGAGTGAACAGGCCCAGGCCCACGGCTCGATGTAAACTCATTAATAGGTGGTTACATTTCAATGAAACAGAGCCCAAGGTCCACTGAAAATGCTATAATTTTGAATTCCAAAAGGACAACATAAAAACATTCTTCAGGAATAGATTAAAAAGGCTTTTTAAGGGAACCGTGATCTTCCCCAGTTAATTTAAAGAAAGATAATCCTTAGAAATCAATATACCTTTACAAACTCTCCCAACAAAACAAAAATTGGATTTTTTTCCAACAAGCAATCAAGATGAACAAATGTAGCCATTTCTACACTATCAATTACACTGCAAATGATTCTCTACCAAACATGAAAGGACAATACTCAACTACAAAAGAAACATTATAGAAAATGCACTTCCAGTACTAATACCTAACCACATAATTCTCAATAGCTTTATTCTCACATGTTAGGTAAAATAAAACTAAGAAACATGCCTTCCCAATTTTTTTCTATTTGGAAAAAATTTTCTATTTTACAACTAGAAAAACAATACAAGAATAATGCAAGAGACATTCGTGCATCTATTATCTAGAAACAACTAGTATTATCAGATGAGGTCTTTTAAAAAAAAAAGATTAAACATTATTGACAGAAGTTGAAGTCCTTGTTAATTACTTCAAATTTATTGGTTCTATAAACTACCACAAAAAGGCAGTGTAACAGTTAATTTTGTGTCAACTTGACTGCGCCAAGGTGTGTCCAGATTAAACACTATGTCTGGGTGTGTCTCTGAGGGTGTTTCCAGACATCTGAATGGGTGGACTCAGTAAAGCAGACGGCCCTCCCCAACGACGCCCCCAAAGTGGAGGGCGCATTTGTTCTCTTCCTCCTTGAGCCAATTACTCATAACAATCTTTCTCCCTCTCTCCCTCTGTATCTCCTATTGGTTCTCTCTCAGAACCATAACACAGGCAGCATCTCAATGACAACATAAGGTGGTATTAACCCTCATGATCTGAATTTTTCTGTATACAAATTCTGGATGTTACCTTAACTTTCCATTTAGGTCATTCCTCCTCCTTACAATGCTCTTGAAGGCTTTGCCAAGATGCATTCAGCAATAAACGGGGTGGTGGGAGAGGGACTTGACTATAGTCCCTTGACTAGAATTACTGCAAGTCCAGTGGATATTGTACTAGTTTGCTGGGGCTGCCATAACAAAGGACCACAACCTGGGTGATTTACACAATAGATACTTATTGTCTCACAGTTCTGGAGGCTGGAAGTCTCAGATCGAGGTGTCAGCAGCATAGTTTCCTTCTGAGGACTGTCAGGGAAGGATCTTCCAGGCATCTCTCCCAGCTTCTGGTAGCCTCAGGTGTTCCTTGACTTGTATGTAGACGGTGTCCCCCTCATGTTTTCACTCTGTGTGTCTGTGTCTAAATTTCCCCTTCTTGTAAGGACACCTGTCAGATTAGATTAGGACTCACCCTAATGACCTCATTTTAACTTGAATCTCTCTGTAAAAACCCTTTCTCCAAATGAGGTCACATGCTGAGGTACTGGGAGTTAGGACTTCAACAGATCTTTTTTGGGGTGAGAAAATTCAACCCCCTAACAGATACTAAAGGAACCGTAGTCTATACTTTGCCAACACTCTAAAGGAGTGACAATCTGATTTCAAGGTCTTTGAGAAGCAAAGGGATGAACAACAGAAAGTACCAGGGCCGGCCCAGTGGCGTAGCAGTTAAGTTTGCACACTCCGCTTTGGCGGCCCATGGTTTGCAAGTTCAGATCCCAGGCACAGACCTACACACGGCTCATCAAGTGATTATGTGGTAGTGTCCCATATACAAAATAGAGGAAGATGGGCACAGATGTCAGCTCAGGGCCAGTATTCCTCAGCAAAAAGAGGAGGATTGGCAACAGATGTCAGCTCATGGCCAATCTTTCTCACCAAAAGAAAAAAAATGTGATTCCCATCACATTCGGAAAAAAAAAAAGAAAATGCCAACGCAACTTCCAGGGACACTGATCGCCAGGAGGAGCCCATGGGAGAGACTGCTCATTGCCTCCTGATATCCGTTTTCCCTTCTTCTTTCCTAACAAAATTCTGATCTCAGTCAGGACAAGGTGTGCTCCGCTAAAAGACTCCATTTGCAGCCTCTTCTAGAGCTGGTTATCGTTGTGTGACTGAGTTCCACTCAATGAAATACAAGCAGATGTTACATGGGACTCCAGGAAGGCTGCTCAGAGGGGGCACAGCTGGGACGTGGCCCTTTCATCCTTCTCCTCCTCTCTCTCTCCTGCCACCTAGAACACAGACCAGTGACCTGGAGCTCTAGCTGCCATCCTGGACCACGAGGTGACTCTGAAGACTGAAGTCACACACCAGGATGGTGGGACAGAAAGACATAAGGGGTGGATGAGTCCCTGAGAATCATAGCAGCCCCTAACGCAGACCACAAATATCCACCATCTGGACTTCTTAGGCTGGAGAAAATATTTTCTTCCCTGTTTAAGCCACTGTTAGTTTGAATTTTCTGTTACACGCATCTACAACTAATCCTGCGTGTTAGAGGTCAAATACAAGCCCCTGAATGCCAAAGCTGCTTGGGAAATTTCAATAGCATTTTACCTACTGTTAATAATGAAGGTTTCCACCATCTGATCCCTAAGTGCACTAAGGACTTTGAGGACCCTGGCAATCACTTTTCCTGCATGTATTCTGCCACCTTACCTGATGTTATGGGATTATGCCATGTAAATGTGTTGGAAACAGGACGGGTGTCACGTCACCATGCGATGCTATCTTTATGTGGTCTGCACTGCCTAGCACAAGGCTGAGAAACTGCAGTAGACAGACTGAAAATCCATCCCTCCATAACCTGGATAAGGGAAGGCTCTCTGGTCCCCTTTATTAACTCCTAAACCACAGGAAGAATCATTTGAGAAACAGATTCTCAAAAAGAATAGCAGTGATGTGTTAAGAGAAGTGTGGCATGTTTATAGGTCTAGAAAGCATGTAGCAATGATCTTTTCCTTCACATTAACACTGGACGTGAAGTTCTCTTATTGGGTTGGAATTTGTCCTCATCTACTTCTGGACAGAGCAACGGAGGAAAATGCTAAAATCTGTATAAGGAATGCATGTGATTAGTTAGAATAGATCAAAAGACGCTCTTTTCCCCATATAAATTAATGTTTGTATGATTTCAATGGTTTCGAAAGAAATAGTCAAAAAAGACAAACAGCAGTTGCCTGAGAAATACAAGTGTTGTGTTTTAAAGCCCCATTACAGTTATGACGTCATCTATTATCCTGTGGAACTCACCTGAACTCTCGTGGATACTGTTTTACGAGCCAGTCCACGTCAAAGCAGTAGTTAAACTAGATGGGGGGAAGAAAGAACTAAGTCATGAGTACTTTAACCAAGCAGTCTACAAGGAGAACTGTTTATTAAATTGAAAGAAACTCTAAAATAATGATAAACTACATATTTTATTTATAAACCTAGACAATTATGCTACAACATTCATAAACAAACCTAAAATAGGTATGGAAGGGAATACACGGCTCGAGGAATCTGAATCAATGGACGAGTGCATGAGAAAACAGGAAATTATCTCTGCATGCTTTGGCAGCGTATTTGCTATTTCTAAGAGCTCTCTGATTAATTTAAATAAAAGAGCTTATAAATTTATCCCTTTTCCCCTAGGTGATTATAAAAAGGACTTTTTGAATATTTCCTTTCAGGCAAACTTATGAGCCAGCTCTGTAAACAGGCATCTGGGACTGGACATTCACTAGGCTTATAACAATTATATCTGGACCACAAGGGTTGCACTGGATCACCCACGGGGGCTCCTCCCCATGCCCGGGTAACCCTTGACCCTCCTCCTGGACATAGTGACTCAATCTAGCTAAGAGAGCACACACAAATTCACTCCATGTTCCCTCTGGAGACCAGGACTCCTGAGGCCAAGCTGAACATGAAGCGCACAGAAAGCTTTGCTTTCTTCAGGGGCGTGACCTTTTTTCTGGTTATTTACTTGAGAGCCTGGAGCATTAACGTGATTTATCAACACAAAGGAACCAGCTCTGTCAGGCAGGAGCAACCAAACGTGCAGGAGTATCTATAACTTTCACTCACTTCTTTTTCGTAGGTGTAGGAAATTTCTTATCTATTTTTCTAAATCTAATCAAACTTGACTTAGCCTTCACCTCTCTACCCACACCTTCTGGGGAGTTGCACCAGAGTCCCAGAGATCACCAATGTCACAGAAAGAAGTCCCTCAGGTTGGTATTTCCAAAGTGACTTCTTGGCCAGTCCTTGTGGCCCAATTGAGAGTCAGAAGCTCCACTGATAGTGGCATCCATGTTCTACGCTGGTGGCCGTGGATCCCACAACTACAGCGTGTGATGCCAGTCTCCAGGTATGTGCCATCTCGAGGACCCTGCATAGGACTGGCCCACAGGTCCCCACCATTCGTATTTTCTTACGGAGTTAATTATATTTCTCCTTCACCCAAAGAAGAAACTGTAAACTCACCTGAGCTGAAGAAATAAGTGTCCCAAACAGAGGAGATAAGATATCTGAGGAGACAAAACATTTAAATCTAATTTATATTTTGATAAAAATTCTCTGGTAATAATAATCACAACTGACTTACTAAAGAGTCACTGACGATCAAAATTTGGCTTAGAAAACAGCTGCGAAGTCACTACAAAGCTAGATTTTAATGTTCCATAAAATTTAAGAGAAAATTTCCCTGTCCTATTTAATAATATTATGTATTCTTCAACAAAATATAATGTAAAATTAAAATCTACAACTTCAGCACTGGATGACTGGTCAATTCTAGAAATAGCCAATAAGGACAATAATGATACATGTTCTTCTTCTTTCCAAATCTCTTAATTTCTACCTCCTTCAAGTACTCATTCAAGTCCCTCTCAGGAAACCTTGCCACCCTGGGGCTAGCAAGATGGTTCTCTGGAGCCTGAGAGCACTCTCTTCCTGAGGAGAGGGCAGAGGCACCCATAACCCTAAGCTCAAATTTCTAGCATCCCAGGTCATCTCTAAGGAGGCCCCACCTTGCAGGCATTCAAGCTTGACTTCCAATAGGTCAGAAAGCTCGCTTCTCATAAACTACACCATGAGAGGAAGTACATCATCATCAGATTCACCATCACTGACTGTAACAGCCACACTTGTCCAGGACCTACGAGGGGCCAGGCACTGTTGTTCGCACTTTCCACACGTTGACTCTTACTCCTCACAACTGTTTTCTGAGGCGGGGTCCGTTATTCCTGTTTTGTAGATGAGGAGTCGCTCCTTGTGAGGCCGCCCACGGCCATACAGTGAGGAAGGGGCAGTCGGGATCTGAACCCAGACTGTTTGGTTCCAGCACTTCTGCTCTTGACCACTAAACTGCCTCTGAGGATTAAGACTGGGTTCATTCACTTATGTGACCCATATTTACTAAGTGTCTCCAGTCTTCCAGACATTGAGCTAGACACTAAGGTACAAAGATTTTCAAAGAACAAAAAGTCCTCTTAAGGAAGCTCCTATCTTAATGGGAGACGTACACAAGAGATAAATTGCAATACATTCCTTGATGGTGTCCTCCATTTTGTCCCCATTGGCGGCTCCTCTATTTTTCCAAATTTTACCCATCTTGCAAGGCCCATTTGAAGTCCCTCTTCCTCCATGAGAGCTTCTCAACAATCTCAGTTATGACATGTGTTGCAGGGGTGTATCAAACAGTTCGAAGAGCACGGATTGTGATGCTGGGAAGCCTGGATTCAAATTCCAGCTCTACCATTCACCAGCTCTGTGATCTTGAGCAGGTTATTTAACTTCTCTAAACTGCAGATCTGTCACCTATCAGAGGAGGACAACTGTACCATCTACTCATAAGGCTGTTGTGAGGATTAAAGGAGATAATCTATGTAATAATCTATGTAAAAGCTCTTATCATAATGTTACCTCCCTTCCTCAATATCTCGGTGCTAATAGCCAGTCTTTATCATTTTATTATATACAGCAAAACCTGGCATAGTTCTCTATTTCTTGTATCAATCTCTCTCAAAACAAAAACACTGCAATCTTATATTTCTTCAAAGCACCTAGACATTTGCCGAAAGAAAAAAACAACCTTTAGAATCAAACTCTTTACAGTGCGGAATTAAATACACAAAGATTTCTACTTCGTACAGAAGAAATATAATACAATTATATATTTGATATATACTTAAAACACTATTGACAGTGAATATAATCTTTTCTTGACTGTGGGCCAGAAAAAAAGTTAATGTGAAATAAGGGTAACAATGTTCATTTTGTGTATCTACCATGTGCATATGGTGTGCTGGTCACTTCACGTATTTCCTCCCTTTTTTCTGAATCTCCAGTTTAAAGACGAGTAAATTGAAGTCTGAAGAACGTTAGGTCCTTTGTTAGTTACCCACACAGCAAGCAACTGGTTGAGGCCAGGATTCAAACGCTGTGTCTTGGGTTCTAGAGCTCCTGTTCTTCCCTTAAGGAAAACTTTGTTTCCTCTCTACACTCAATACTTCTCACACCAAATGTGTGGGGGTTTGCCACACAGACCAATTCTCCAGTTCTCTGCGGACACCAGCTGAGTGTCCTACAATTTAAACTCAATTCTGACACCATCCACCTGAAGGTGGCATCAGACCCCACAGGTCAAGGTCTCAGTCCCACAAGACTGCCCACACTTCAGACGGGGGGTTACCACGATCCCCTCCTCGATGTTTGATAATTTGCCAGAAGCCCTCACAGAACTCAGGGAAAGCACTTTAGTTACTAGATTACCAGTTTATTATAAAAGGATACAACTCAGTAAGAGCCAGACAGGAGAGATGCACAGGGTGAGGTGAGGGGAAAGGGGGTAGAGCTTCCACGCCCTCTCCAGATGCACCACCCTCCCAGCACCTCCATGTGTTCACTACCTGGAAGCCCTCCAGTTAGGGTTTGTTTTTTTTTTTTTTGTGAGGAACATCAGCCCAGCTAACATCCATGCCGATCCTCCTCTTTTTGCTGAGGAAGACCGGCCCTGAGCTAACATCTATTGTCAATCCTCCTCTTTTCCCTTTTTCTCCGCAAAGCCCCAGTAGATAGTTCTATGTCATAGCTCCACGTCCTTCTAGTTGCTGTATGTGGGACGCCATCTCAGCACGGCCAGACAAGCAGTGCGTCAGCGCGCGCCCGGGATCCAAAGCCAGGCTGCCAGTAGCGGAGCGCGCACACTTAACCACTAAGCCACGGGGCCAGCCCCCAGTTAGGGTTTTTTAATGGCATGCTTGATTAAATCACTAGCCATTAGTGGTTGACTCAACCCCCAGCCGCTGCCCTACCCCAGAGGAGGGGGTGCACCGGAAAGATCCAACTTTAATCACATGGTTGGTTCACCAACTTTTAAGCGCTTTCCAGAAGTAACCTCATTCACTCAAGTGTGGCTGAAAGGGGCTTGTTATGAATAACAAAAGACACCCTTTTCACCTTTATTACTTTGGAGCTGTTTCAGGAGCCTGGGACAAAAACCAACTATAACCGGGGATGAAGACCAAGTACATATCACAGTATCACACAGATGCTCCGTGGGGACTAACCAAAGATCATGGCATTCTTTTTTTGCTTCTTCACCAGGAACTGAAACCAGGCTTTCAAGCAGTGGTTCTCAAATTCGATTCGGCATTAGAATCCCCATGAAAGGCAGCTTAAAACACACATTGCAGGGCCTTGCTCCCCCGAGTTTGAGTCAATGAACCGGGGGTGGAGCCTGAGCATTTGCACTGAATGAATTCCAGGTGATGCTGCTGATCCTGCTGGCCCAGGGACCAAAGAGAACCACTGCTGTCAAGTATTTGCTACTTTGTTAATAAAGTGTTGTTGATCAAGTTTAATTTTCAAAAGTTAAATAATTCTAAACATTGTGCTAAGTGTTTCAATGGGTTAATCTACAGGGCTGTGAGAAATACTCTCATTTCCTAAGCAGTTTGATGTCAAACAAATGCATTTGCTTGTCAAATTGGTTATTTTCTTTCCTGAGTTAAGACCACAAAGAACGGTTCTTGAAGATCATTCTAGGCTACCCTCCTGTTTTACTGAGGGGGACGCTCTCACGTGCAGTTTGACAGCTCCTGGACACCCAGCATCACTTACCCTTGATGTGGAGGGCTCTGCAGTTATACTTTGGCTTAATTCCCGAGACTCTAGTGAGGTAAAATTGGAAGGGGTTCCCTTTATCCAACATGTCCCAAATGTCCTGGGCTTCTCCTGACGTCTCATATTCATCGTCTTCCTCTTCAAGCCTGCGGCTGGCGGGAGGACCAGGATTTCCAGTTCTCTGGGCAGCACCATCTCTGGGAGAAGAGATGCCTTCCTCCTCTTTGACTGCCACTTTCTTTGTCTGCTTCTGTTGCTTTTTTGGTTGCAGCTCATCATCACTGCTGGAGAGACACCAACCTAGGTCTTCCTGGGAACCACTCTTGAGCCTCTTGGGAGGCAAAACTTCTGAAGCTGAATCTGTGTTGCTGAATTTCACGGGTGACAGCTTCCTCCTGTGGGCGGCTTTCCGAGCTTCGGAACAGGTGTACCTTGGCTCATTTGCTGCTCTCTGCCCAGCACGGGGGAGAAAAGAGGAAGATGGCTTATCCAGTTTTGGCTTTTCCTCTTCACTTTCATCGCTACTGGATATTGTCCACCTCCCATAATTGCCTTCCTGAGACATCACACTTCTGGAAATGAAAGATGGAAATATCGTTATTTCTCGTTCACTATGCCATTGGCAAACTAACTCTACTGCTCTCAAATTTCCTGTCATATGAGCTTCCACAACACATACAGCCACATACAGCACACCTGACACTTCCCAGATGCTGAGCCATGCAACTGACATCAGCGGCTTTGTAGGCATTCAGAGGCATATTACCAAAATCTGCTATGGGAATTTGGCAAATAAAGTGACAGCAAAAATCCTGGTCACCTTTTCCTCTTCTCCCTTTGCTTTCAATGTAGACCTTGTTCTTAGATGCGCTAGAAAAGCGGATTGAGAGCCAAACACCAAAACAAAACAAAAATGTTCATTCTTGGCCCTCAAGCTTGCAACAGGTGCTTGGGGTTAAGGCCAATTTGAGAGATTTCAAGACTAATTCTGACTATGCTCAAATATTTAAGGTCAAATTGGAATTTACAAATCTATCCTTCACCCAAACATGGGAGCCTGAAGGACTTCAGTGATTCTTTCTTACTTCCCCAAAGATAAGCTACTTACCACAAAGCTTAACAAACTCCTTAAGACAGTGTCAAATGGTCAATTCTGTAACTACATTAACTAGAAGTACTTCCATGAGGACCCAATTAACTTATTTTATTGGCCTTGTCCTAAATCAAACTACTAAAACCTGCAGAGAAAAGAACATACTGAAGCAAAACACTTATTTTCTAAACCACACAGTCTGATTTCTACTTTCTTGCTCTCAGAAGAGGAAATAGATGAGTCAGGTACTCCTGGTTTTGTTACCTACAAAGTGCTGCCAATTCAAGGGTAAAGGGCTATCTAAGTAGATTTTCCAGATAGCTAAAGAAGAGTTCCCTAGTGTGATTTTTGTTTTAAATATTTTAGTGCAAGATCCAGAGGAAAATTATAGAACACAAGGGTCCTTGCTCAGCTTGTTGATAGTGTCTAAATTTTTTCTACTTTAAAGAGACTAAGCAGGTTGCATTATGACTGGGGTATACCAAGACAGACTTTGACACTGTTCATAGGACCCCACTCCTAAAAAAAAAAAAAGATTGATTCTACACCAAAAGATTTGCAAATGAATATTCTTTCATATGTTTCAAGCTAAAAAAACTATTTTTAAGGTATCTATCACTTTTCACAATTTCTCATTTAACTTTTCAATTAATGACCAGTCAAGACAGACAGGGTTTCTCCTGTAAACGACATATTTCAAGGAGTTTTTAAGCAAAGTGCATCTAGACCATAATTTGATCCATTCTTCCTGGCTCAGGGTCACTACTACCCCCACTTGGCGTGGACGCTGTTTACAGCTAAAGCCTTAGGGACTGCAGAGATGGATGGGCCGCTCCTGTAATAGTGGCCCTAGACTCTGTCTAGGTCATGTTTTCTAAGAGTTCTCTGTCCATTCCCACTCTGTCCAACTCACCTCTAGGAGCTGCTAGAACTCACAGAGTAGGTTTTTCGCCCCTAAATTGCTTCTAATCTGCTAGGGGTTAAGAAACCAAATAACCAAGTTTGTTAGAATTGTATTGTGATAGTTAACAGGATCTGAGAACTAGGTTTTCTCCACGAAAGATTCAGAGAGACTTACTACTTAACACCTACTTAAACAGCTCAGTCTTGTTTACTTGTTTTTTCCAATCATTTTTTAAAACTTAGGTTCCCCTAGTGTTCTAGACTCTGGAGGTTGCTGGATAGAGGTATTCAAGCTGTCATAATTCACTTTGAAGGAACGATTTTGGTGGCTACAGTTTTGTAACTTTGGCAATAGCATCTTCAATGAAGAGTCCTGAGGCAGTTCTCTGTAGATGCCTTCCCCATTCCAGAGCAAATAGAGGGTCGCAGTTTTTAGGTGGAAAAAAAGGGTTCAGCTTCCCATCTGAGAAAAGGAGCTGTACACAGACATGTTAGAGGCTACCATTATCCCTCTCCCAGATGAATTACACAGAAATAAAACGGAATTCAAAAACCCTGAGAACTCTGAAGGGAAGATATTTATTCCTCTTTAGCGATTCTGTGAACTATTTAGAAAATTTCTAAAGCTTTCAGTTTTATCATTATCTGTGTTTTCTAGAACCACACGTGCAGGCAGAGGGGGGAGAAGGGCAGAGAATTCCAAGAAAGTAGGGCAAGTGGGTAAAAAATAAAACAAAGCTTTGAAAAAGATATTTACTAGAGAAAAAAGTGCTTTTGTTTTTGGTCTGCTCTATAGTTTTGATCTGCCCACACTCAAAAATATGCCTGACAGTTATTTACCAAGTAAAGGCAAAAAACCTTTGGAATATCCTAATAAAATCGCATCAAGTCACTAAGTCTAGCAGGTTACCAACCTCTTTATGAAGCAAAGCGCTTAGCCTGTTGGAGAAGAGCTGTTGGTAAACGCCAAGATCAGTCAGCAACTGATCTTTTACCCTGGAGAACTGGATCTGGTCCTGGCATCAGAATTTTACTTCTCTCTCACACAGGCCCAGGTTCCCAGGATTCTCAGAGCACTTTTGTAATCAAGTCACACAGATTTACAAAGATAGAACCCAAGAGCTTTCCTTCAATTGTTTATGGTTTGTCTCCCCTGGGCAGTGCCTGGCACAGCACAGTCTACCATCACACTTTGGCTAAGTGGTGACACCAGAATTAGAGTTATAATACAGGTGGGCTGATTCTGAGACCTAACATTCAATCACGACAGCACAGTGCGGTGTTTCCCAAACGAGGAGACTGGGACCTGACGTTAACTCACATCTCATTATGAAAGTATCTCCCTTTTCCAATCCAATCCAATCCCTGTTTCAATCAAGGAGAGAGGTGTGGTGTTGTAGAAATGCCTCTAATCTTATTTTTGAATAACAGACTTTGGCTCTTCTGCAGGCAACAGTAACACTTTTGTTTACCATCAGCAGAAGGTATCTTATGGCTCCCTTATATTTACAATAATAAAGTTTACTTTTTAAAGGCAGTGTTTATGTAACAGAGTGGATTCAAATAAAAATATTAAGCAAATAATAGTACAGGTGTTAAGAGAGAAAGACAAAAACTAGGGAGGAGGCAGGTGAATGACTGAAATTTGGCAAACACTGCATTAAGCTATATTGCCAAGGAGGAGGAAAACTGAAAGGAATTCTCCCACCGAATGCCCACTGGGAACATTAGAGCTTTTATCAGGAACTGAAAAAAAAACTTGCAGCTGCAAATGGGTACTCCTCTTAAAGCTGTTAGCTCTTCCTCCCGCCCCAGCATACCAGACCCAGCTGGGGTACTTCTTTTACACTTCGAGCCGCTCCTTATACAGCTTGCAGACCATCAGAGAGGGCCCGGGAGTCAGGCTCCTCAATTGAGGCCCTGTGTGACCAGTAGTGGGCAGACATGAGCCCCAATTTCAAATCCAGTCATTACTAGGTAGTAAATGTGCACTTGAGCAGGTTTCTTAATTGCTGCGCCTCAGTTTTCTCCTCCACAAAATGGATATCATACCCACCTCCCAGCGTTCATTCATTCAATACATTCTTATTGAGCAAGTACTAGATGCCAAGCACCGGGAATCAGGAGTTAACAATATAGAAAGAGTTTCTGCCCTAGGAGAGCTTACATTTCAGGAGGAACGAGACACACCAACACAGACAAAAATAACAAAAAAGAGCCAAGATGGCCGTACAGACATTCATGACATTTTACAGGGATGACCTTACCTTGGAATACTCTGAATAAGTAACATTTAAGTGCGATCTGGAGAACGAAAACGAACTAGCCAAATAAAATGGGGGGGGGGCACGACGACACATGAAGAGCATTACGAGTAGAGGGAACTCAACCTGCAAAGGCCAGGAGGTGGGAACTAAGTTGTAATAACTCCAAGAACTCACAGAAGGACTTGAGCAAGGCAGGCAGTGGTCCAGGACGAAGAGGGGGCGAGGAGGAAGAAGGCGTGTTCAAGATACCGGATTTTATTCTTAGAACGATGGGGCCCCCTGAACAGCTTTAAGCAGGGGAGAATCTCGGCCCGATTTACCTTTTTAAAATATTAGGTTTCCTACAACCCTGTGTGGAGAATGGTTCGAAGGGAGACACAACGTCCAAGTTGAGGAGGCTCCTGCAGGGGGCTCGGAGATGGCGGCGGTGGGGATGCAGTGAAGCGGGCTGATTCCGGGTAGGAGGGGGAAGTAATGACAGCTGCTAACTTTGCTGTGTGCTCACCTCGGGCCAGGCACAATTCGAAGCGCTTTACCGGGTGTAAACTCATCTCATGCTCACAAGCCTATACTACGTACCACGACGGCTTCCACTTACAGGGAAATTGAGCACAGAAAGGTTAAGTGCCTGGCATATGGTGAGCGCCAGCAATCACTACCACCTGCCCAGACCACCCACTATTACGAGAAGCCGGAACAAGAACCCGAGCAGCGGGACCCCTCACGTCCACGCTGCGGACAGGACTCGGGTCTCCGCGACGCCTGCGGCGCGACCCTAAGCGGTACTACAGGGGAGGAAACCGAGGCCCACGGCGGAGGGGGCCTTGCCTGGTGTCTTGACAAGATGCGATGCTTCCCTCGGGAGGCGCCTTCAGCCCCGCCGGGCACTCGCGAATTCCCCAGAGCCGAGTGGCCCGCGCACCAACGCGGCCGAGCACGCACCTGAGGCACCGCAGCCGCAGCCGCCGAACAAGCAAGCACCTGAGGTTCCCGGAGCCCACCGCCGGCTGCGACGCCGCCGACCGCGCCTGCGCGCCGTTCAAACCCTCCCGGCCGCCGCGCGCACTCCCCGGCCCTGCCCCTTCCCCTTCCGGGACGCCCGCCGCTGGGTCTTACAGACCGCCGGATCCAGAGGGGCTGCAGCCCTCCTGGAGGGCTACCCCAGAAGGGGGCGGAGGAGAGACGTGGCCGCCTCCAACTCTCGGTTCACCTCCTGGCCGTTTCTCCTGAAAAGGGGAGAGAGGAAAAGAAGTGTTCCCCTTCTTTTCCCTTAGGTAATTAGCAATTAGACAGCTTCAGGCTCCTGGAGCCCAATTAGGGCAGGAAGGTTTATTTTAAAGGCGGAAAGAAGATCATCTGAAGTTTAAGGCAGCTGAGGGCTGAGACCAGTATCTCGGGAGGAGCGGACTCGCTTCGGGCGCAGACTGTAAAACCTGCTGTAAAATAATAGGTTGAGTTCCCATCGGACTCAACCTCGAATGCCTTTTTCTTCACCTTGTTGAAACAGGTGTGTGTGCCTGTGTGCTTTTTATTTAATCTTACTGATTTGCCAGAAGAGAGAGGGGTCTGAGAAAAACTTTGCAAAACGGAACTCCCCTCTCTCCCATATTCCTTGCCTTTCATAAGGATATTTGTTATAGAATTTGGGCTCAATGCTGTTTATACTGTTTATTCTCCGAGTTTCTTTCAAACTAGGCAACTATTCCAGAGGATGGAATGGAATAACTTGGTGTAAACGTCCTAAGGGCTCACTTTGTTCGTTTACTGAACGTCTGCTTTGTGCCAGGCACCGTGCTAGGTGCTAGTCTTTTCTGGAGGACAAAACAGACACAGTAGGCTACCCTGGAGGGCTCGACCCCAATGACTTGCTGATGGACTTGGCTCGTTTTGTTTGGTTCCTTTTATGCTTTGTTCACACTCCTTTTGTGTCTCCTATAATGTTTAGCACAGTGCCATAGATCAAAATTATCAATTTACTGCAAGGTGTGGGGGCAGAAAAGGAAAGAAATCATGCAGGACACATTGCAACAGTACCTAAGTGAGCTGACTCCCCGGCCGCGCGCAAGGAGTTAAGGAGACGAGAGGGGCGGAGCCAAGGCGGGGGCGGGCCTGGGAGCCTCTCCGCCATAGGCTGTTCCAAAGAAACGTTATTAAAGAAAGCCTCTGGCCAATAGAACTGCTGGATCAACGCCAGTGGCTCGCAGGCCGTCCAATGGGAGAAGACGTTAGAGGTGTCCGGCCAATTCAGCTTCCTGGGTTGCTTTGAGCGTGGCCCGCGGTCTGCGAAGAACAGGGTCCTGGCCGCTGGGGTCGCGGGTTTGGCTGTCCTGACTCGGTTGTGGCAGTCGCGATGTTTTTCTCCCAGGCTGGGGCCCGGCCGCGGACGTGGCAACCCAGCCCTTCAGAACACAAGCAATGGGGGAAAGTAGGTGTCCGGAGGCATGAGTCTTGGATTTTAACTGGACACAGGGCTCTCACCTCCGTCAGTCTGCCTGGGTCTGTTTCAGCCCGGTTGCACAGACAAGGACTGGGCTGTCCTTCCAAAGTGTCCTGGTTAATGACTGAACCTAGGGCTGCAAGGCTTCTGGCTCCCTGTCCAGTGTTCTGGCTACTTCCAAGTTCTTCTTTTCCGCTACATAGTTTATTAAATAATTTCTAATCTGCACTTCTCCTGCCTTTCAAAGCCAGCCCCTTTCCCTCACCTTCCTAATTCTAGGACTGAATTTTGGGTAGAATTTATCCCTATGGTTTAAAGGAATTAATTTGTGTCAGCCTAGCGATTAAGTCGTTTGCACATTTTTTGGGTGAATTTTAGCACATTAAGATTTCTTGAGAGTTAAAATAAAGATAATGAAACACCATTACTGAGCCCTACTGCTTAGCCGAGTTTTAGATTTTGGAGGTCTAAATTTAATATAAAGTAGAATAAAAATAATAGAACAGACGGTTTCTGTCTTATTAACTAAAGTTATTTAATGTTCTTTAGGTATTTAAAGCATGTGATGAAGATAACAAAGGCTATCTAAGCAGAGAGGACTTTAAAGTTGCTATTGTGATGCTGTTTGGGTACAAGCCCTCCAAGGTAGAGCCTTCTTCATTTATTTGGGGACGGGGCAGAAAATACAATAGTGGGTGCATTCTAAGTCAAGTGCAGAGGGATAGTTTAGGATGTTTATAAAGCAAATCACTGACTTAAAAGCAATTTCAGAGAGGTGTCCAGTGGTGAATTTTACTCTTTCTTCTTAAGAACCTAATTTAGGGATGAATTAGAGTCCTTGAAGCCTATCTAACCACCAGACTGCTAATACTTATAATAAATATGAGATGCTAGCTAGATGTCAAGAGGGAAGGGTGGGAGGGGGGTGTTGGTAACAGGAGGAATTCACAGAGGAAGTGACGTGCAGTTTTTTTTTCTTAAAATTTTTTTCTCCATTTAAATTATAAAAGTAATACATTTACGTAGTCAAAAAATTCAGACAGTCTAGAAAAGCGTAAAGTTGAATGTAAAATTCTCTCCCTCCCTACCAAAGGGTCCCACTCCTCAGGGGTTACCGTTATTAACAGTTTCTTACGTATCATTCCAAAATTTCCTATGCATGACAAACATGCCTAGCATTCTATGAAAACATAAGTGGGTGCCCGGTATGCTTATTTTATTTTAACTTGCTTTTTTCACTTAACAGTAGATGAATATAAAAGCACACACCGCCACCACATTTTAAAAATAGTTGTGTAGTATTCTCTTTAGCCAGTTTCTTGGTTTTGGTTGTTTAGATGATTTCCATTATTTTTCATTCCTACAAACATTGCTGCAATGAGCATCCTTTTATATCTATACCTGTGGGTATATCTCTGTGGAATAAATTCCTAGAAGTACAATTGCTAGGTATATTTGAAATTTTGTTGGCTATTGCTTTCCAGGAAAGGTTGTACTAATTCACTAATAATGAGAATTCAGCTGAACTTCAATGAACCTCCTACTTTAGTAGGACAAGTTTGCTATTCTCCTGCCTTGTGCTGCTTCCTTTGTCTATTACATCCATTCTATGGAGGGATCCTTCTTGTTAAGCTGCTGAACTGGGATTAATCAGAGGCAAGATCTTGTCCAGGTTTAAGAAATTCAACTGCAGCCATCAAGCCGAGGGAGACTCAGGGCTCTGCCTGGAATGCCCTCCCCCGTGCCCTCATTAGACCAACCAGCTTGGCAATCACTTTGGCCCAGCTGTTGCTCATGAGCAGGCTCTACCTGTCTGTCAGATTGCAAGCCCAGGAAGGCCAGGGACTATGGGTATCGCACTTGTCTGTCCTTCACTGTGCTTAAATGTATCACAACTTCATGGTAAATATGTTCTGTTGATACAAATTGGTATATGAGCCCAGGTTGGTTCAGAGTGGTTCGACTACTAGGGGATGCTTGGTTACTGGGAGGCTGATTATGGAGCTCAGAGAAGTAGTCAGGGCTGACTCCCAGAAATTGCAGCTCTCCTGTTAACCTGCAATTATTTTAGCTGCAATTCCAAAGCAGATCAGCTAACGGACTTAGCCTTTGAAGCATTGTATTTAACCTGGGTTCAGCTGGAAAGATATCTGTCTCATCCTGCCTTTCTCACCCTTGAATCTACTTGTTTGGTTTTAATTTTAGAATGTAAGTGAGGAATTTAATGACAGGTACAGTGATGTAATATACATATGTACACTCCATGAAATTTAGCAGATTTTTACTTTTATTTTCATACCTGGTTGAGGTTTTGGATTTTATTTTTTAATCAAAATGTTTATTGACTGCAGATCACTAACAATAAAGTAGTAATGTAGTCAATCACCTATACACTTATCAATCATTTGTACAATGAACTTTTATTAAATAAGTGACACTTAATGTGTACCCTCTGTAAAATTTAACAGATTTTTATTTTTATACTAGGTTGAGGTTTGGGATTTTATCTTTGAAGATTGCTTTTGAGCAAATGAAATATTTACTAAATGCAGGTCATGAAGCAGTAAAGCACTTGTATGATAAATCACTTAAACACTCATGCAGTTGTTTACACAATGAAATTTACTGTGTTCGTATTTAATAAAAGGAACACTTGCTAGGTGCTAGAGATATAAAGATGAATAAAACATAGTCCCTACTTTGAAGCAGTTCACAATTTAGTGAAGAGAGACTTATAAAACTCTGTGAGAAATATTAAGATAGAGAAGAGATTAAGAATAGAAAGTGAAAGGGCCAAAGAACCTGGTCTAATTCCAGTGGTAACTTATAGGAGCCTGGGAGGCATTTAGAGTAAAGGAACTAGACTCCTCTGATATGAAGGGTCTGGAAACACTTTCTGGTTGGTGGGAGAAGTTACGTTACCAAACCAGGTTTGTTTTTGCCCATTGCCCAGAAAGCCAATCACGAAGACATTGAGATTGCAGCAGAAAGAGGGTTTTAATCACATGGCAGCCAAGCAAGGAAGCAGGAGAATGAGTCTCAAATCCGCCTCCTCAAAAATGGGGACTCAGGGATATTTATGGGGTGGGGGGCAAAGTGGTCTGAAGTGTGGAGACAGATGATTGGAGGTAAGGAGAGGTGAAGTAATTGATGATCTGCACAAGTGAAGTCAAACTTCATGCCTCTTCATAGGACGCATGTTCACAAAATGATGGCGTTAGCATGATCTGAGGCTGGAGTTTTTAGCCTCCTGATATCAAAAGGTCACTTATCGGGCATCTGCACGGGCCCAGTTGATAGGTTGGTGGTCTCAACCAGCCTGAACTGAACAAGGGGTTCCTAATTCCTGAAAAACAGCTTAAACATCCATTACCATGGTGACCCAGTGCCATGGGGGTGTTATCTGTAGGAACCTCGTGGGAGTCAGATAGCATATTGCCTAAGAAGTACAGTCAACAGTGGGCGGGTGAACAACTAAAAGCTATAATCAGTAATTGCAAAACAGAAAAAACCTTTAGATACTAGCTACCTAATCATCAATGGCTAACTGTTGATGGGTTTCAGTTATACCCTGGTAACTGATTGGATGTAGTGGTGGTAAGAGAGTGGTGTGACACCAGGACTGAAGGGATAGTGATGCCACCAAGTAAAAAAATTCAGGAGTAGGTTCAGGGGAAAGTCATTGAGTTCAGATTGGGACACATTAAGTTTGAGGAGGCGATGAGCATTCCAAGTGCATTCACTTGTTAAATATTGTGCTGGTGTTGAGGTTCTGGTGGTAAAGGTCTGCTCTCAGATTGTACTGCCTCTCTTAGAGGAATCTGAAATTGGGTAGAGAGGTGAGGGCTGGAGATAGATTCAGGATTCTTCAGTCTACAGGTGGTAGCTCAAAACATGAGAGTGGATGGCATTGCCCAGGAGGAGTGTGCAGGGTGTGAAGGGCAGTAGCCTGAGGGTAGAACACTGGGGAGTACCAACATTTAAGGGCAGGCAGGGACTCCATGAAGATGCAGTGGGAACCATCTGGGAGGGGGAGAAGGAACAAGAAAGTGCAGGGCATGGAGTCCAAGGTGGAGAAACCGTCAGATGCTGCCAGGGTTCTAATTCTATAATATTTATAAAGCTCTTATAACAATGTAGGAAAATGCTTATTTTTTAATATTGAATAAAAGCAGGTCCCCAAACTTTATATACAGTGTGTTCTCAAATACGTTTAAAAATGCATAGGAAAAAAAAAAGCTAGACAAGGCCAAAATGTTTACAATGGAGCCAGCCCTGATGGCCTTGTGGTTAAAGTTTGGCGCCCACTGCTTTGGCAGCCCAGGTTCGTTTTCCGGTGGCAGAACCACGGCACTTGTCTGTAAGTTGCCATGCTGTGGTGGCTGCTCATATAGAAGAACTAAGACGACTTACAACTAGGATATACTGCCATGCACTGGGGCTTTGGGGAGGAAACGAAAAAAAAAAAAGAGGAAGATTGGCAACAGATGTTAGCTCAGGGCGACTCTTTCCCTGCAAAAAAAAAAAAAAGAAATGTTAACAATGGTTTTCATTGGATGGCTGCTTTTTAAATTTTTCTTCTTCGTAATTTTTTATGTTTTTCATGTTTTCTTCATCGTGTTACTTTTATAATTAGGAAAAAAAATTTAAAAATAAAGCCATAGAGCTCATTGTAATAATTGCTGTATTTGTCTAAAACAGAAAGGTTACCTTTTAGGTTATGCTATGTGTGTGACAGCCAAGTTGATTTTATACGCTTAAACCATTTTGGTCAATGGAATCAAGTTTTGGAGGCCATTAGAGTCTATCGTAGATTAGCGTCTGGTAACATAAATATTGATGGAAGAGTAAAATGACTATTATAGCTGTTCTGTTACATTACTTATTTGCTGGGCTCAGCAAAGTTGGTTTCTCATAAAATACACCCAGGAATTAAGAACTTGCACTGTGAAAACATTTCATGAAATTATATGTTCTATTCTTTTCTCTTTTCTAGATAGAAGCTGATTCTGTGATGTCTTCAATAAATCCAAACAGTTCCGGTAATATGAAAGTTAATATTAATTTTCTTACCCTTTTTTAGACATTCATAAAACTAAAATAAAGAACAAACATAGAGACTATAAAGCATTACGTTTAAGCACATCTTTGTTTTGTTTCCCATTACCCAAAAGAAAGAGGTTTTGGTTCTTTTAATTTTGGTTAATTCATGTATTTATAAGTATAATATATGTGTATTGTAGGAAATTTGAAACCGTTGAAAAGCATAAAGAAAAAAATGTAGCTTCTAATTTCAACATCCAGTGGATGATTCTAGGTTTTCTGACTTTGAACGAATGAAAGTGGCACTTAACTGAAATGAGAAGACTGGGGGAGAAGATTTGGGGTTGGGGGAGACCAAGAGTTCCATTTTGAGTATGTTAAGTTTGAAAAGTTTCACTCAACGATGTCAAGGCAATCGGGCTGTATGAATGTGGAATTCAGAAGAAAGCTCTGGGCTGAAGAAATAAATTTGGGAGTCATCAGCATGTAGATGGTTTTTGAAACCATGGGAATGGATGAGACCACCCAGCAAGATAGAGTGGACTGAGAACCTTGGGGACTATAACCATTAGACGTCAGGTAGAGGATGAAGAAATGGCAAAGGAAACTTAGGTTGGGCAGAGGGGCATGAGGAAAATCAAGAGTGTTTGATCAAAAGCCAAGAGAAGTGGCTATTTCCAGGAAGAGGGTGTGGTCAACGCTATCAAATGCCGTTGAAAGGTCAAGCATGAGAACTGAAGAGGATCCACTGGAGCTGGCAGCCTCGGCATGTTTGGTGACTTTAGCAAGAGCAGTTTCACTGTGTGGTGAGGGCAGAGGCCAGGGTGGAGTGTGTGGAAGATAAACGGAAAGTGAGCAAGTGTGACAATGTGAGGAGATAAGTCATTCAGTAGGTCCAGAGTGGCTGTGGATAAAGAAAGGTTTTGTTTGCTTTTTTTGTTTTTGGAACATGGAGAGCGTGTTTCTATGCTTAGTGGAATGATCTAGTGAAGAGGGAGAAAGAAGATGAGAGAGAGAGAGATGAATACCTATTGTTTGAGGGGATAAGATTCGGAGCGTGCTGGATTGGCTTTTTAAAAATTACCTTTTTTGGGAAATAATTTAAAGCTTACAAAAAGTTGCAAAATAAAAATAATACATACAGAGAACAGCCGTGTATCCTTTACCCAGATTCACTTATTGTTAATATTTTACCCCATTTGCCTTCTCATTTGCACTTTCTGCCACTACCCCCTCCTCTCTTTGTACTGTACGTAACCACGGTCAACCTATCAATTTCATAAATTTATATTGATACTACATTTTTGTCTAATTTACTGTCTATATTCCAGTGTTGTCACTTGATCTAAGAATGTCCTTAATAACATCTTTTTACCTTTAGTACAGGAATTAGTCTTGGGTGTCATGTCTCTTTAGCTTCCTTTAATCTGGAACATTTCTGTAGATTTTTTTTTTTTTTGCCCTTTTTATAACATTGATATTTTTGAGGAAATAGCCCACTCCTCACTGTTTTGTTTTGTTTTGAGAACATTCCTCCTTTTGTGTTTGCCTGGTGTTTCTCTGCGATTAGGTTGCAGTTAAGAATCCTCAGCCAGAATACTGTTCAGGTGGTATGTTACCCTCAGAGTGCCACATCTGGAGGCACACAATGTCTGTCTGTCTGTCAGATGATATTAATTTTTATCACTGGTCAAGATATTGTCCAAGTTTTCTATTGTATTATTTGTTTTCATTTTCTCCCTTGCAACTAATAAGCAGTCTGTGGAGAGACACGTTTAAGACAATGCAGATATTCTACTTCTCATCAAAATTTCCCCCTAGATTTGGTATCCATTCATGATTCTTGTCTGATTCAGTTTTTGCTGTAATGGTTGCAAAATAATGATTTTCTAATCCCAGTCTTTCTTTCAGTTAATCCTTGGCATTTTACTATAAGCCAGAGACTTCCCTTCTTCCTGATCAATTGATCTGTCTACCTGTCTGTTATCAGTATGGACTCATGAATTTGTATGTTTTTAATGATTTGTAATTCATTATTGTACTCAATTATTTTAGCACTCAAATTGTCTCAGGTTTAGCCTTTGAGTACTCCCTCAAGCTGGCTCCTGTGTCCTTTTGACTGGTTTGACTTTTTCGTATCTTTATTTATACATGTTAATTTACAGAAGGGTTTGCTGGATTATTTTTTGTATACAAGGTTTGTTATCATGTATGGAACGTGACTTTTAGAGCAATGTTATTGCTAGGAGAACATGTTTTTGACATAATCTCTAACTTGATGGAATTTCCCCAGGTTTTTAATTTCTTGTTAAAATTTTCACACTTTCAAAATATTCAAATATTGTTTCTTTGTTCAATTAGTTGTAACTTCTTGGTGAAGGCTTCCTTACATTTGTTTCTTCGGGTTTCTTTGCAGATATTCAAATCTACAAAGATTTCTGTGGCTTTTGGCAGAAGGATCTGTTTGCATTGATCGAGTTTCCCTCCTTTAGGTATCCCCTGATATTCAGTGAGTTACTCTGTCAGAATGAAGGTCTTCTCCCACTCGTTTTATTTATGTAGTGTTTCTCTGTTATGTGACTTTTTTGGTATAGCAAGTGTGACTATTGTTGAAGGCACTCTCACATTCATTATTCTCATAGATTTTCTCCCTTACGTCTGTTCTCTGATTCTGAATTAAGGATTTGACTTCACGCAGAAGGTTTTCTTTCCTTAATTAGTTCTTTGATGTATGGAGAGGTGTTATTCTGGAAGAAAGATTTCCCACATTCTTTACAGGTATAATTTTTATTTATTTATTTATTTATTTCCCCAAAGCCCCAGTAGATAGTTGTATGTCATAGTTGCACATCCTTCTAGTTGCTGTACGTGGGACGCGGCCTCAGCATGGCCGGAGAAGCGGTGCGTCGGTGCGCACCCGGGATCCGAACCCGGGCTGCCAGCAGCAGAGCGCACTCACTTAACCGCTAAGCCATGGGGCCAGCCCCTCTTTACAGGTATATTATGTTCTCTGATGTAGAGTAAAGAGTGACTTCCAACAGAACATTTTCCCACATTCAATATTGTGTTTTCCCCATATATATATTATGTCACGTTTAGTAAGGTATGACTTCATAAAAAGGTTTCCCCACGTGTGTTACATTCTTGTGGGTAATTTGATGTACACTGAAGGGTAAATTCTGGCAGGTTTTCCCACCTTCATCACATTCTAAAGGTTTCTCTTTTGTGTGAGTACTCGGATGTAAAGTGAGGACTGATTTGTGGCAACAGGATGCCCCAGGTATCCATCGTTAGTTTCCTCCTTGGTATTTTTCTTTTCTCTGATGTTTGAGAGAGGTTTGACTTGTGGCTGAAGATCTGTTCATGAAATTTACAAAATTTCCTCTCCTTTTCGAGTTCTCTAATTCTTGAATTTTGACATCATGCAGAAATATTTCTAGCATTTGTCCCAGTCACAGAGCTTCCTTTTGATGGGAGTGCTGATCTGCGTTGGACCTTTAAGTTTTGGACAAGCGTCCCTCTACATTTACTACCTTCATGTGGTTTCTTCCTGAGTTCTCTTATATCTAATGAAGACTGCCTTATTATGGAACATTTTCTCAAATTCATTATGGCCTAAGGATTGCTTCAAAACTGGGATTTTTTTGATACTGAAAATTGCCTTCCCTAAAAGTAAGGCTGACTTTGATGATATGCTCATGGACCTGCTGCAGTAAGCATTTCCTTGCATTTAGTATCAAGGATATTGCATCTACTCGCACATCCACATCCAGTCAAATCATTAGGATGCTTCCTTTCACAGCATCTTTTCCTAATAATTAATTTTAAAATATCTTTCAAAAGGTTCCAAAGTAAATTAGTCATCTGAGAAATTCAGGGGACCTATCAGAGGAAGGATTGGGTTGGAGGAATGAGATCAAAGTGTAGGTGCTAAGCACCTTTCTCCAAAATTACTGTGAAAAGACTCTCCTTAGTCTACAAGTTCCTAGTCCTTCGCCTTCCTATTCTGGTCTTGATATCAATGGCAAATTAACTTTCTCAAAGCATCACTTTTTTCATGATTAAAGGAATAGCCGGGGTACTAACTCTCCAGCTAGCTTTAATTCGTGTTCACTTGAAAGGGAAGACTCAAGACCACAAACATCTAAGGGAAAGAATAGAATAGCCATCCTAGCAAGAAATCACTGCTGAACTCTGATTGCTGCTAACATAAATTTTTTCTATTAGAACTGTTCAATACCGAACCAATTTCAGACCATGATCTCCCTCTTTTCTCCCATTCAGTAATATCAGTTACATTTACATGTTATTTTTCCTGAAAAAAGAGGCTTTATGCACAGATTAAATGTTTTTCCAAATATATTCTTTCTTCTCCTTAATGTTTTGATGTTGAAGAAGAGCTGGAATGTTGGCCTTGGCTTTCTGGGAGCTACTTATTCAGGTAATCAACTTTCCAAAGTTCTTCTGGGTAGCTGTAACTTGGGAATTCTCGTGCTAGCTGTAGCTCTTCTTCCATCTAGACAAGGTTGTGCCAGGTCTCCAGCACGCCGTCCCACCCCCCACCCCCCGGGCCCAGCTGCTGCCCAGCTTCCTGGGTGAGGTCCAGACTCACATCGTGGATTGACCCTGACTCAGCAGAGTCCTGACGATGCGCACACTTCACACAGAGTCCAATACCCAGATCCCACTACTTCCCAAGAGCTTCTGGTCTCTCTAAAAGGTGGATCGTTTCTGTCGAGGTTCCTTGTGAAGATTAAGAAGAGCAAAAAGTTAAGTCAAAGCCATTAAAATAAGAATGGAACATCTGAAGGAAAGTCATGCTGAGAGAATTTGAGGGCAGACAGAATGAGTAGCCAAAAGGTGCTAATGACATTTTTAAGCTTATAGCATAACAAGCAAGTGAGTATCAACAAAAACTGCTTAGGCACTAGGAACAAGGAATTATGGTAGTGGGAGGAAAAAAATCAAGCCACTTGTTTGAGGAAGCAGCAGATTGCTG